CCGAAACCGAGCGAAATTACGAGATCTACGACAAGGAAATGCTCGCAATCATGTTATCACTTGACGAATGGAGGCAGTTACTCCTGGGAGCCACGGAAACGTTCGAGATCTTCACCGATCATCAGAATCTCGAGTCATTTCGGAAGCCGCAGAAGCTCAATCGACGGCAAGCACAATGGATCACGGAGTTGGCGGAGTTCAATTTCACCTTACGACACCGACCCGGCGCACTCAACCGCAAGGCGGACCTCCTGTCCCGACGAGCAGATCACGATCAGGGCAAGAACGACAACAAGGACGTCACGCTACTGAAGCCCGAGTTCTTCCGATCACAAGAAGTCACATTCGAGGGACAGGATCAGCAGCTAATCAATGAAATCAAGGCCATTCGATCAATTGATGGAAGCGTCAAGGCGGCCGTAGAGAAGTCACTCGTCGGATGGAAGAAGGAAGAGGGGCTTATCACGTACCATGGGAAGCTCTACGTACCAAGGGACGAGGAGTTGCAGGACAAAATCATCGGACTACACCACGACATGTGACAATCAACCCAAAAACAAAGTCGAAAAGAGAAGTGAATTCGAAGACTGGAGAATACAACCAAGTAGCTACAGTATTTATACCCAAATCCAGTCTGAGTCATATCTACAACTAATGAGTCATAGGGCTTATGTACCGCATGGAGCACTGGTCATGGGTTGTAGTAGAACCTTCCGGAGCATATGTCGCGCAGCCTCGAATCGATAGAGATAACCCCTGGAACCCCTAGCCCGGACCGTCTGATGCCGTGATCCGTGATAAGATAAGTCGTGCCAAGATAAGATAAGATCGTTGATGATAAGATGAAAAAGAGTCGAATTATGACATTACCCCCTCTCTAGGGTCGATGTCCTCATCGACTAGGCTAATGGGTGTGAAGACGTTTTCGTACGGATCGAAGAGTTGTCGCTGGGGGTATGGAAGGCGCTCGTCTTTGGGTTTGTAGCGATGGATGAGGTAATCCCAATGTCCGGCTTCGAGAGTTGGCAGGAGGCGAATGCGTGTGTCTGGGTTGGATTGTTTCCTCTGCCAATCTCTCAGGACCTTCTTTGCGTGGGTAAGGTGACGTGATGGTTCCCAGGTGTTCTCGCTATGCGGCCATCCCTTCCATTTGACCAAGTACTGTTTTCCTCGGCCGACGTTTCGCTCTTTCACGATCTCTTCGACTTCCCACTCCTCTGCTCCTCCGATCATCTTGGCCACGGGTCTCTTCTCTCGGCGATGGGGGGGTGGTTCGTGATAGGGTGTCAACAGTGACTCGTTGAACACCGGATGTCTTCGGTCCGTGTCCGGTAAATCCAGCTTCCATGCGGCCGCTCCAACCTTCTCCAATATCTCGTATGGCCCTAGTCTCTTGTCGCTCATCTTCTTTGATGGTCGATCCGTCTCGATATTTTCCCCTTCTATGTACACCTTCATCCCAACCTTCAACTCCAGAACTTCTTTTCTTTGTTTATCGTAGTATTTTTTCATTTTTTCTTTTGCTTTTTCTAGTGCTGTTTTTGCTTCGTCTTGTATTTCTTTCATTCTTTTTACAAATTCCTCCGCCGACTCGTTTCTCGACTCCATCCGTTGCTCCACTCCCTTCCATGGGTGATATCCGTGATTCGCATAGAATGGCGATATTTTGGTAGATGTGTTCATTTTATCGTTATATGCAAATTCTGCCATCCCTAGCCACTCCGACCAGTCCGTCTGATGGTAGTTGACGTAGATGCGGAGATAATGCTCGATCTCCTGATTCATGCGTTCTGTCTGCCCATCCGTGATCGGGTGATATGCGGTCCCCGGGTTCATTTCCACGCCCAACATCCGATTCGTCTCCCTCATGAAGCCCTTGATGTAACGCGAATCCCTGTCGGTGATGATCTTGCGAGGGATCCCGTGGTAGCGGAAGACTCGGTCCCTGGTTAGTCATGCCACTCCTTCGCTGCTGATGTCAGTACTAATTGGTTCGACATGGATCATTTTGGTGAAGCTGTCACACCACACATGAATTGCATCATACCCGTTACTGACCGGCAAGGGTCCGATTTGATCCATGGAGATGATTTCCCACGGCGCGTTTGGAACTGCATGCGGGTGCAAACTCCCTGTCCTGGCTCTTCTGGTCTTGGTCCGCTGGCACGCTTCGCACGTCTGGATGTATTTCCGAATTTGGTTTCCCATCCTTGGCCACCAGTAGTTCCTTTCCACCATCTCCTGCGTTTGGTTGATCCCGGCGTGTCCGACCAAAGGGGTGTCGTGGTGTAGTCCGATGATTTTGTCCCGCAACTCCTCGTCCCTTGGTACGTAGAGCTTCCCATGGTACGTGATAAGCCCCTCTTCCTTCTTCCATCCGACGAGTGACTTCTCTACGGCCGCCTTGACGCTTCCATCAATTGATCGAATGGCCTTGATTTCATTGATTAGCTGCTGATCCTGTCCCTCGAATGTGACTTCTTGTGATCGGAAGAACTCGGGCTTCAGTAGCGTGACGTCCTTGTTGTCGTTCTTGCCCTGATCGTGATCTGCTCGTCGGGACAGGAGGTCCGCCTTGCGGTTGAGTGCGCCGGGTCGGTGTCGTAAGGTGAAATTGAACTCCGCCAACTCCGTGATCCATTGTGCTTGCCGTCGATTGAGCTTCTGCGGCTTCCGAAATGACTCGAGATTCTGATGATCGGTGAAGATCTCGAACGTTTCCGTGGCTCCCAGGAGTAACTGCCTCCATTCGTCAAGTGATAACATGATTGCGAGCATTTCCTTGTCGTAGATCTCGTAATTTCGCTCGGTTTCGGTCAATGCGTGCGAAATAAATGCGATTGGGCGCCAAATGCCGTCTTGGTTTTGGCTCAAAACTGATCCTGTTGCCCCTTCCGAAGCATCGGCTTCCAGACGATATTGGCCAGTGTCATTTGGCAGTGCTAGGACCGCATCCTCTGCGATTCTCTTCTTCAATCCATCAAATGCCGCATGCTCATCTGCACCCCATGACCATCCTGCCTTTCCTGTCAGCCGTGTCAATGGCTTGGCAACCTCCGCGTATCCCCGGACAAAGCGCCGATAGAAGTTTGTGAACCCTAGAAACGCTTGGACTTGTTTGACGCTCTTTGGTTCCGGCCATTCCATCACGCCCTTGATCTTGACTGGGTCCATCCGCATCGAATTGTGTCCAATAATTACACCCAAATATTCGATTTCTGTGCGTTCGAACTCGCACTTTTCGGGCTTCAGGTATAGCTTGTGTTTCTGGAGTAATTCGAGCACTCGTTTCGTGATCCGCCGATGTTCGTCCAAGTTCTCTGTAAAGATCAGTATATCGTCCAGATAGACTACCACATGTCCCTCGTTGATCAGTTCTCGGAGTATGTTGTTCATCATGTTTTGGAAGGTAGCCGGGGAGTTCGTGAGACCAAAGAACATGACCAAGGGCTCGTACAGTCCACGGTTCGTGCGGAACGCAGCCTTCCACTCGTCACCCTCTTTGATCCGTACGTTATTGTATCCCCATCGGATGTCGAGCTTGGTGAAGAACTTGGCGCCGCATAGATTATGGACCAGTTCGGAGATCAGCGGCAGCGGGTACCGATTTCGGATTGTCATCTTGTTCAGCTTCCGATAATCCTGGACGGGACGTAGCGAACCATCTTTCTTTTTGACGAAGAAGAATGCTGAAGCCATGGGTGATTTTGATGGCCTGATTCGTCCGCTGGCCAGGTTCTCTTGTAGGAACTCGTCGAGTTTGACCTGCTCGTTTCGTGATAGCGGGTACACCTTGCAGTCCACTGCTTTGGAACCGGGTTTGAGCTCAATCGCATGATCCCAGGTTCGTCGGTCCGGTAGCAAGTCGAATGATTCCTTGGCAAATACTTTGACGAATTCCCGGTATTGATCCGGAATTTTCCCTTCGGTCATCCTCTCCTTCTCTTTTTCCGCTTCTTCTGCGAATTTCTGCGCCGGTGTTTCCTTCAACCGTAGATCCACCTCCTTCCCAAAGTCGATCAGCAGGATTGACTCTCCCTCTTCCAGATCCGGTGCGCTCGTGTTCAGGTCGATTGCATCCATGTCAATCATCGCTTGGTGTTCCTCGTGACCCCTCATGTGACACCGTTCTGGGCATCGGCTGAATCTCATTGTTTGCTCCTGCCAATCCACCTCCGGGTTGTGTTCCGTCAGCCAGTCAAGACCAATGAAGATCCGGGCCTTCCCCAAGCACGTCAGAAGGAACGTGCGTGTCTCCACGTGAGGACCGATTCTCATCCTTAGGTCAACGTAGTGCGTGATCCGGCCGCTGATGTTTTCGGTGTTGTCGGCGTTACGAGCCACAATGGGTTGGGGAAGTTCTTGGATATCCAGCTTCTCTGCCCGCGCGTAGTCGGTATCGATGCAGCAGGTGCTACAGCCACTATCGAGTAGCGCCTTGACTCCGCGCGTCTTTCCTGAGTCCAGGCCTGTGATCTGGACATATACGTCCATCGAATGTCTCTTCCTTTCGGCCTGGTAGTTGCGCAATTCCTGCGCCAGTCTGCTGGGCTGGGGGCCCTTCTGTCTCTCGGCTGCCCATTTCCTTTGAACGGCATCCGGCACCCTTGTGCGTTTGGGTGCTTCTGGAATCCTGATTTCGGCAGATTCCTTGGGCGCTTCCTCCTTTTTCAAGGATTGAGCCTCCGGAGCGATGCTCCCCTTTTCGGTCTTTGTTGACGTGGTTCCTTCTCCACGAGCCATAAATACGTAGGAGTCCAAAATTAATTTATCCGCAGCTTTCTGATCCTTTTTACTTTGTAAATACTCTCTATTTAAAACTATTTTTCTTTGTCGTTCCTTTTCCATATCAGCAATGAGAAAATCATGAATATTGGTACGTAATGAGTCCGAGATTGTATATGTATGTGTAGAATCGTTCATGTCTTTAATCGAAACAAGTACAGAAAAACGTCCATAGTCCGGACGCTCCACCTCCTTGGCTAGAGGAGTGGAGTGCTTCAAAAACCCTTCTCGCGCAGCTTCTCGGCGATCTCCTTCAGGAACTCGTTGTCCTTGTCCCCGTTCTCGATCTCTTCTAGCATTGTGGCCCGATTGAAGAACGTGCGCTTCTTCTTGGGCTCAGGGCAGTTCCGCGCAATGTGCCCAGGCTGCTGACAGTTGTAGCAGATGATATTGCGGCCACGGGCGTGGGTGCGATCGATCTCCATCGGAACCGGCTCATTGGCCGCTGGTCGGGCCGGAGCGGGTGCAGGTGCTGATGGTGCAGCCTGAGGGCGGAATTGGGGTGGGGGCCGCGGAGTTGAGTGCGCATAGGATGCCTTACGCAGCTGATCGCGCAAGGCATTGGCCTCGATGTTGACGCACCAGTTCTTGAAGGCACCATATGCCTTGGGCAGGGGGACGCCGGTGTTGTAGAGGCGGCTTGCAATTTCGCTGCTGAGTCCGCGCTCGAGGAACTCGATGAGGATGTTGTCCTGATCCCCCTTCTTGTGCTCGCCCTTGCTGTCGGTGGAGGTGACCACGTTGTACCCCGCGTCCGCAGCCAGCATTTCGAAGTCAGAGATGTAGTCCGCGAAGGACCGTCTGCCCTGGCGAAGGGCCATGAGTCGGGCGGCAGCGACTTGCTCTGCGTTAGAATCCCCAGAGGCCCTCTGAAGCTCCTCCAAGAAGGTTGTTGCGGTGACTCCCGCCTTTAGTCCTTGGAAGCCCTCGAAATTGTGCTGCTTCCAGTTCATCGCCCATCTTGAGGCGGCGCAGCTTGTGCCGCTCTCATTGCGGAGGTAGGACAGGACGAAGAGGATTTTCGTCTCGTCCAGCGAGAACTCTGACCGATAGGCACCGATGTAAGTGGTGCACGCGTCCACAAAGCCCAGGTATTTGGACTTGTCGCCATCGAAGTAGGGGGGGTTGGCAGCGAGAGTGATGCGGTGATGTCCTGACATGGTAGGAGCAGGTGCGGTAGGTGGGGGCGAGGGTGGTTGTTTGGAGGGTAACTCGCCAAGGTCGGGGATCTCGTCTTCAGGCGGCGGGAGGGCGAGGTAGGGGTTGGAGGGCCCGGGTTCGTTTTGATGCGCCAGATCGGGCGACGATGGTATGATGGGGGGAGGGGATGGACTCCCAGATGACGATGGGAATCGGTACGAAATGGTGGATTCGTGTGCTGTACAAGCACTCGAGGAAAGGTTCTTTTGCTAGCAAAAAGATCCCGGGCCTAGCTCTTCACGTGCCCGATGATCCCGAGGTGCGTTTTCCCGGAGGTCTCCGCAGCACTCCTTGTAGCTACCGTAAGGCTTGGGTCGGGCTCAACGTTACCCGTGGCCTGGTGCTGTTTGCTCGATATGAACCTTTCACTGCGATCGCAGCGAGCGACTAGATGATTTGGTAAAAGGGTGAGTGGGGTGGTAAGGGTGAAGAGGATATAGCGGGCGTAGCGGTGCACGGAGCAGGGTAGGAGGTAAGAGGTACGAGGGTATGAGGGGAGTCTTCAAATTATGTGACAATCAACCCAAAAACAAAGTCGAAAAGAGAAGTGAATTGGAAGACTGGAGAATACAACCAAGTAGCTACAGTATTTATACCCAAATCCAGTCTGAGTCATATCTACAACTAATGAGTCATAGGGCTATGTACCACATGGAACGCTGGTCATGGGTTGTAGTAGAACCTTCCGGAGCATATGTCGCGCAGCCTTGAATCGATAGAGATAACCCCTGGAACCCCTAGCCCGGACCGTCTGATGCCGTGATCCGTGATAAGATAAGTCGTGCCAAGATAAGATAAGATCGTCGATGATAAGATGAAAAAGAGTCGAATTATGACACGACACCCCTTTGGTCGGACACGCCGGGATCAACCGAACACAGGAGATGGTGGAAAGAAACTACTGGTGGCCCAGGATGGGAAACCAAATTCGGAAATACATCCAGACGTGCGAGGCGTGCCAACGGACCAAGACCAGGAGAGCAAGGACAGGGAGTTTGCACCCGCATGCAGTTCCAAACGCGCCGTGGGAAATCATCTCCATGGATCAAATCGGACCCTTGCCGGTCAGTAACGGGTATGACGCAATTCTCGTGTGGTGTGACACCTTCACCAAAATGATCCATGTCGAACCAATTAGTACTGACATCAGCAGCGAAGGAGTGGCACGACTAACCAGGGACCGAGTCTTCCGCTACCACGGGATCCCTCGCAAGATCATCACCGACAGGGATTCGCGTTACATCAAGGGCTTCATGAGGGAGACGAATCGGATGTTGGGCGTGGAAATGAATCCGGGGACCGCATATCACCCGATCACGGATGGGCAGACAGAACGCATGAATCAGGAGATTGAGCACTATCTCCGCATCTACGTCAATTACCATCAGACGGACTGGTCGGAGTGGCTAGGGATGGCAGAATTTGCATATAACGATAAAATGAACACATCTACCAAAATATCGCCATTCTATGCGAATCACGGATATCACCCATGGAAGGGAGTGGAGCAACGGATGGAGTCGAGAAACGAGTCGGCGGAGGAATTTGTAAAAAGAATGAAAGAAATACAAGACGAAGCAAAAACAGCACTAGAAAAAGCAAAAGAAAAAATGAAAAAATACTACGATAAACAAAGAAAAGAAGTTCCGGAGTTGAAGGTTGGGATGAAGGTGTACATAGAAGGGGAAAATATCGAGACAGATCGACCATCAAAGAAGATGAGCGACAAGAGACTAGGGCCATACGAGATATTGGAGAAGGTTGGAGCATTTACCGGACACGGACCAAAGACATCCGGTGTTCAACGAGTCACTGTTGACACCCTATCACGAACCACCCCCCCATCGCCGAGAGAAGAGGCCTGTAGCCAAGATGATCGGAGGAGCAGAGGAGTGGGAAGTCGAAGAGATCGTGAAAGAGCGAAACGTCGGCCGAGGAAAACAGTACTTGGTCAAATGGAAGGGATGGCCGCATAGCGAGAACACCTGGGAACCATCACGTCACCTTACCCACGCAAAGAAGGTCCTGAGAGATTGGCAGAGGAAACAATCCAACCCAGACACACGCATTCGCCTCCTGCCAACTCTCGAAGCTGGACATTGGGATTACCTCATCCATCGCTACAAACCCAAAGACGAGCGCCTTCCATACCCCCAGCGACAACTCTTCGATCCGTACGAAAACGTCTTCACACCCATTAGCCTAGTCGATGAGGACATCGACCCTAGAGAGGGGGTAATGTCATAATTCGACTCTTTTTCATCTTATCATCAACGATCTTATCTTATCTTGCCACGGATTATCTTATCACGGATCACGGCATCAGACGGTCCGGGCTAGGGGTTCCAGGGGTTATCTCTATCGATTCAAGGCTGCACGACGTATGCTCCGGAAGGTTCTACTACAACCCATGACCAGCGTTCCATGTGGTACATAGCCCTATGACTCATTAGTTGTAGATATGACTCAGACTGGATTTGGGTATAAATACTGTAGCTACTTGGTTGTATTCTCCAGTCTTCGAATTCACTTCTCTTTTCGACTTTGTTTTTGGGTTGATTGTCACAGGCATGCCCTGCGACGCGGGTGTCGTGGTGCTGCTCGAGGATGCGTCGGCGGAGGTCGTTGTTGCGTGGAACCACCAGCTTGCCACGGAAGTAGAGCAGGCCGCCTTCTTTTCGCCACTCCGCAGCCCGAGCAGAGCGAACTCCGCGTTCCTTGAGGAGCTCACGTGCTGCCAACACAATGGGCTCCTCCATGTTGGGGGTACCGGCGAGGGCCTCCCGGATGTCGCGCAGGAGAGGGGCTTCGGGTCCAGAGACAGTGAGACCCTCCAAGGCCCGGACATGGAACAGCTCCGGGCGCAGCAGTGTGACGTCTGCGTTGTCCGAAGCGACTCCGTGGTCGGGGCGGCGCGAGAGAGCATCCGGGCGGCCCATGAGGCGGCCAGGTTGGTGGTGCAGGGTGAAGTCGAAGCGAGACAGATAGAGGGACCAGCGGGCTTGACGACGGTTGAGATTCTGGGCCTTCCGGAAGTACTCCAGATTTTTGTGGTCGGTCCAGATCTCAACGGGGTGCTCGGCGCCCTCGAGGAAGTGTCGCCACTCCTCCAAGGCGCGGACGATGGCGAGCATCTCCTTGTCGTGAATTTCGTAGTTCCGCTGGACCTCGTTAAGACTCTTCGAGAAGAAGGCAACCGGATGCCACTTGTCATCCACGGGGGACTGCTGCGAGATGACAGCACCGGTCGCAAAGTCCGAACTGTCTGCTTTGAGGCGGTAAGACCTGGAAGCATCCAGGAGCTGCAGGACTGGGGTAGAGGTAACAGCGTTCTTCAGTGCAAGAAACGCAGCTGCCTCGTTGGCACCCCAAGTCCATGCCACGTCCTTCTTGGTGAGGTCAAAGAGAGGACGGGCAACGTGCGAAAAATCCCAGATGAACCTCCGGCAGAAGTTAGTGAAGCTGAGGAACTGCTGCACTTCCTTCTTGTTAGCCGGAGCTGGCCACTCCGCCACACCTGCGACCTTGACTGGGTCCATCTCCACATGGTTGTGGGAAATGATCACCCCGAGGTATTCGATCAACGGCATCTCGAACTCGCATTTCTCCGCGCGAAGGTAGAGCTTGTTCTCGCGGAGACGTCGGAGGACTTCGTTCATGATTTCCCGGTGACGGTGGATATCGGAATGTGCAATGAGAATGTCGTCGAGGTACACCATAACGTCGCCAGAGAGGATGAGGTCCTGAAGTATGTCATTCATCATCGTCTGGAACGTTGCGGGGGAATTGGTCAGGCCGAAATACATCACCAACGGCTCAAAGAGCCCGCGGTTTGTCCGAAACGCTGCCTTCCACTCGTCGCCTTGACGAATGCGTACGTTGTTGAAGCCCCAGCGAACGTCGAGTTTGGTGAAGAACCGAGCTCCCTTGAGCTTGTTGATGAGATCATTGATCAGGGGAAGTGGGTAGCGGTTCTTCACTGTCATTGCGTTTAGTGCTCGGTAATCTTGGACAAACCGTAAGCTGCCGTCTTTCTTCTTCACGAAGAAGACAGGAGATGCCATGGGCGATTTTGACGGCCGAATCCTGCCAGTAGCCATGCCCTCCTCAATGAAGCTGTCGAGCTGCTTCTGTTCGAGAGGGGAGATGGGGTAGACCTTACAGTTGTTCGGCTTCGCGTCGGGAACCAGTTCAATGGCGTGATCCCAGGGGCGTCGCTCTGGCAGGTTGTCGAAGGACTCCTTGCTGAAAACATCTTCGAACTCGCGGGCCCACTCGGGGATGGTATCCCGAGGAGGTGCAGAGTTCTTAGCGAACGCCTCGGCAAGTCGCTGAGAGACGGTGCTGGTGGCTCAGATGTTTTCAGAAGGGTTGAAGCGGGTGTAAAAGATACGGTCACCAGCTTCCAAGGAGTCGTCATCTTCTTCGACATCTTCAGGGTCATAATCGTCCGAGTCTGGCGAAAGCTCCGGCATCTCTTCGTCCTCGTGGTCCTCAACGTCGACAGCGCAGATGGATGGAACCGGACCTTGTCTGATGGTGCGAAGCACCCGGGCCGCGGTTCTGGCAGATCGACGTTCTTCGCGAAGTTCCTCCCGGCAGGTGGAGCAACCGGAAGGGCAACGGCTCATCTTTACCTCCTGGGTATCCCAGTTGATCTCCGGGTTGTGCTTCCGGAGCCAGGAGTACCCTAGAATGAGCTGCTGCTTGCCTAAACGGGTGACAGCAAGCTGCACGCGTTCACTGTGGCCCTGGTAACGGAGAACCACATCAGCAACTTCGCGAATGGAACCGGCCTCGTTCGGCGTGCCGTCCACGTTGTAAACGGGGATAGGCTGGGTGAGGCGACGAACGGGGAGGTGATTTTCCAGGACGTAGGCCGAGTCGATGAAGTCGGATGTGGCACCACAATCGACCAGGCCTTTGAGAGATAACTTCACTGCGTTGTCGGTGGACTCGATCTCGAGGGGGAGGTGGAGAGAATTGGCCCCGGGAGAGGCGGCAGCGACATAGCAGGAAGGGAGCTTGCGTTCCCACTTCTCCTTACGGACTCGTGGGATTAGAGGGGGAGCAGGGTGTACGTCTATCGCTTCAACTGTTGCAGAGTGGAGGGAATTGGATTCATCATACAAACAGGAGAAACGATTACGTGAAGCGAACAAGGGCGTACTACTCACTCGTCGCTGGGGATAAAACCCTGCTCCTCCTCGGCTGCGACGTTGGACGCATGATCCGCAACGGCTGCAGTGGTCGCGACCCGAGCAACCAACTCGGAAAGCAGATCACTCCCCAGCTGATTGATGACCTCATCGAGGACATCGGTGTGACGGATATCAGCTGGGGTGGGGCAGTCACGGGCAAGATGGCCCGGACTGCCGCAGCGGAAGCAGGTGCGGCAAACGTCACCGCGGAGCCGGGTCCGATCCAACTCCATGGGGATGGGGTGGGCAACAGGAGCCGGCGCCGGGCGAGCAGCAATTGCCGGTGCTACAGCAGGGAGCACCGGGGCACGAGGACGAGGGACAATAGGAGGCGCTCGGGGGGGAGGGACGTGGCCTCGAGACGCCTTGGCAGCTTGTTCCGCATTGTACTGCCAGAACGCACGGACACGCCACTCGGCGTAGTCAGTGAGCCTGGGAGGGTTGCCAGAGGTGGTGATAGCCTGGTTGATCTTCAGATCCAGGCCCGTCCTATATTTGGTCACCTTGACCAGATCGTCGGTATAGCCGGCGAGATCAAGGAGGTCGTCGTATTCGTCCGTGTACTTGAACACGTCACGGGAGCCCATATAATACAGATGGGTCTCCAGTCGCGCCAGGGCGTGGTCTTGCTCGTTCTCCTCGACGAATCGGAGCTTGAATTCGGTGACGAAGAGAGCCCAAGTAGGGAACGGGAATGGGGTGCGCTTGGACATGCGCTCGGACCAGGAGGCTGCGGAGTCCTTGGACATGTAGGACAGGGTGAAGCAGACTACCTTTTCTTCCGAGACTGCCCCATTCACGAAGAACGCCTCAGGAAGCAGACGCCAGTACTGCTTCACTGAATGCAAGAAGCTCTTGCCCAGGGTGCGATCCCCATCAAAGGAGAAGGGAGGATTTGGACGGATAAGGGGGCGCCCAGGGCTGGCGCCAGTAGGAACACCTGGACCCGCTGCCGGAGCTGGAGCAGGGGCAGGGGCAGGGGCAGGGGGTTGTTGTTGTTGAGAGATGAGGCAGGTGAGTACGGCCTCGATGTTCTGTATGCTGGTCTCCAGAGCAGACAGCCGCTGCTGTTCGTTGTCATCCATGCTCATCGGGTCTGCTCGTGGAGGGGAGGAGGGGGCAAGATAGGAGGTGAGGGAGTGGTGGTCTTGGTCGCTCGCCGACTCTTCTCCACTGGCGTCAGCGTCGAACCTTGCCATCTTGTCCGGTTATCCCTAGGAACACGTTTTCTGCTGTAAGGGCAACCTCGAGACCCGATCTCAGAGTTCTGGCAAGGGAGAATCCAAAGGTGATTAATAGTGGTAGCTAGGTACAAGACCGGCATACCTGGCAAGGGAGAATCCAAAGAGAAACCGTGTTGGGGATTCTCCTTGCCAGGCGCCACTATTTATATGATACAAGAACAATGGAGCACGCAGCAACAAACAAAGAACAATGGGGACAATAAGTACAACGGCCATGACAGAACAATGGGAGCGGGGACAATAGGAACAATGGGGCACCTGGCCATGTGCCCATCAAGGAGAAGCGCTCGGCGCGGCAGTCCGGGCCGCGGCACGTGACAGCTGACAGGTCACGCGAGCGCAATCACATGCCTGATCAAAGGCAGAGCGGTCCGAAACGGGGGTTCCCCTGACATGTTTGGAGAACGATAAGCTCCGAGCCATTCTCGACTCTGCTGGCATCAACTTACAGATGCTCAATGCCCATCTTCAACTTGCTGCGCACAAGAATGAGTGCTTGCGCAAGTCGTTGTTTTCAAAGAAGGCTAAAGAGAAGCGGAAGTACACAAATGGGATGGCTCGGCTGCTCACCAACAACGAAACTGTCACAGTGCTTGCAGCTAATGAGCATAAGAAGCAATGGACACCAGTTCATGCGGCTTTACAGCCGCTCCTGGTTGACATCGCCCGTTGGCTTCAGCGCTCTGGCCGGATTTCAGACTCGGCTCACTCTGGAGACCCCATGAGAGATGTGCATGATGAATTGTTTGGCGGCTATCCATGGCTGTGGAACGTGCGCCCCATTGTCAGTCTTGTTCTGCAAGGTTACGAACCAAAAAAGACTTGCCGGAGGAAGCAGCAGACTGAGAACAATGGCGCTCAACCCAATCCGCATGGCCAGACTCAAGGGCGTGGCCAAGGAAGAGCACGTGGCAGTCATGCTGCAACACCGGGTCGGGCTTGAGGCAGCGGCAGGCGCGGTCGTCCAGGTACAGGCCATGGTGGTCATGGACAAGGTGCTGCAAGAGGGAGAGGTATACAGCTCACTCTCCCTCCTGGCATTAGCAACTCGGAGGAAGAGATCGATCTCGATCCTATCAGTGAAGAGACAGAGAAAAGTTCCAGCTCTGACAAGGTTCGTACCGAGTCAGAACCCTCTCCTTCACGTTCCCCAAGCCCATCCACAACTCAGATTGAGGCCTTCTCCAGTTCAGGCAGCTACAAGGATGTCTCCCGGTCAGGATCACCCATTGATGAGATCCAGATTGTTCGAGTCAATGGCCACTGGTGAAGAACAGGTAATGTAGAGTTCATGGTGGTATGGGCCGATGAGGATGTCACCTGGGAGCCACTGGCAAACGTCAACGACTGCCAAGGACTTGATGAGTATCTTGAATATCATGCAGTAGCTGACCCCTTGCAGCTGTCAAAGCGAAAATCCGTGATTGAGAAAGGACTCAGGGCCTCAAACGAGTAAATTTATGCACCACTTGTCCATATGTACCTTCATGCATGCGTCCTTGTCGCCATTGTAGTCCTGGAACCGAAGAAATAACAGAGATCACCAAACCGGCCCGGATCATGGTATTTTGCCGATTCGGACTTCTCTGACCAAAATATTCCCAGAGCGCGAAACAACATAGCGAAAAAAATCTACCACCTACACAAGTTAGAATGAGTCCTTGCCCTCGACTTTGGATGCCTAACTAAATGGATTCATCTATTAATCATAAGCACTGGCCTGTATGCCTTAAGGTGGCCCGGTACCCGCTATCATACAGTACATATTACATATATAATCATCATGCCAATTTAGTCGTCCAAACTAACAAATGAATTGCCAATAATTACAATATTAGTTTCGTGGACATTTGTTATGGGGTGTAAGGCCGAGGATGGTGACGGATGAGAAGACGCCGCTTACCTTCCTCCGAGTTGCATTTGGACTCCAGATATGATAACTCACGTAGGTAGTGCCGCGGGTTACCACGGCAGTTGGGAAGGAGGCGGAAATGGCTCCCTATCATTGATAACATGGTGGGCCGATCAGATATAACTAACATTCCTCATTTGGAGTGGTTCTGAACAGGTGATCTGTGTTGACCCTGGGCGTTTCGGAAGTTTGACTCAATGCAGTGATCTCGCGAAGCAGTAGGACCGGAGTTCCTACGAATGTATCTGCTGCACAGGCGGCTATTCTGCTTTCGCAATCCTCTATCATATGATTTAGCGCATACATAGCTTCTAATGAAAGGAAGCCATTTTAGCGTAAGGGCAACAACCGCGTTTACCCGGTCTGGAAACATTTCAGCGTCGGGGCAACTGCACAGCGATTGAGTTTTTTTTTTGCACTGTGCTTATGGTTATGCGCTGGTGGAGAATACATACGGCGGTTTCGCGGAAATATCTTTGTATCGTTTGTTGCGCGATAATGGGAGCGCCAAAACAACGGCGGGGATCACGCTCAATTTGACGACTCCGGCTTTGTCACGTGCAAGAGTCGGCTCTTTGCTAAATCTACTCTCTCGACAACGCTCGGACTCGGACTTATCCACAGTATGACACATGCGCTCACGGGTCGAGGCGTCGAGGAATGGTCCATCGTCTCCGGGCCGCGAGACAGCAACACAATTCGATATAAAATACGCCTTCCACAGACTGAGCAAAACATCATCCTCTGCTCGGCCGTCTGTTCTTCCTCCTCGATATGTCTTCTATCACCGCTTTCCTGCAGCTGTCCGCCCTCATCAGCGTGGCGCTTGCGCTTCCCGGCAACTTGGCCGTCGTGGAGAACGACAAACGCGCCTCCTGCACGGTCAACAGCGTGGCTAGCTCGACGAACCTGAGCGGGTGCTCCAACGTCGTCATCCAGGGATTCACTGTGCCTGCTGGAAACACCATCACGATCACCGTGCGTGCCGCTCAAGGTTTCCTCTTGTTCCACCTCATCTAACGCGCGCGGCAGGCGGCGAAGGGCGCGACAGTTACCATGGCTGGCGATGTAGTCTTTGCGAAGACGACAAGTACGCGGCATTGCGCACCATGGAGAATCTGCCGATGCTGACTTGGCTCCAGCTCCTGGTCCTCTCTTCACCTTCAACACTCCCGCGATCAACTTCGTCGGAGGCAACCACAAGATCGATGGCAACGGCGCCTCTTACTGGGATGGCAAGGGAAGCAACGGCGGCTCCTTCAAACCCCACCCCTTCATCAAGTGAGTGTGCACTTGCCTGTTTGCCATAGACGCGTCGATTGACCTCGCGCCTCAGGGTCAAAGGCTACGGAACCTTCAAGCAGTTCACCGTCCTCAACTCGCCGGCTCAGGCCATCTCTGTCGGGACCACCGGCGGGGCCTCGACCATCTCTGAGGTGACCGTCGACAACTGTGAGTGCCTGCGCTTTGTCACGTATCTGATTCCCGCGGTTGATTGGCGAAACAGCGCTCGGTGATTCCAAGGGCGGACACAACACCGACGGGTTTGACGTGAGCGCCGACGACGTCACGATCTCGTCCTGCACGGTCAAGAACCAAGACGACTGTCTCGCATTGAACGAGGGAAACAACATCGTCTTCGAGGATAACACCTGCGCCAACGGTCACGGCATCTCCATCGGGTCTATGGCTTCCGGCAAGAGTGTCACCAACTTCAAAGCCCTGCGGAACACCGTCACCAACAGCTTGTACGGGATTCGCATTAAGGTGCAAGCTGCCGCCACTGGTGCTAAGGTCGCGAATGTCGTCTACGATGGGTCCGTCTCGTTTTTGTGCGCGCGCGCGTCGTGCAGTTCACTCATCGCACTGCAGCAACAAGCTCTCGGGCATCAGCTCTTACGGTGTGTTGATCACCCAGAGCTACCCTGCCAACGACGGCAAGCCTGGATCCGGCGGACCGATCTCAGGTGTCAGCTTCTCCGGCTCCCCGACCACGGTCTCTGGCACCAGCAGTGCATACGGCCTGGTCGTTGACTGCGGCGCCTGCAGTGGCACATGGGACTTCTCCGGCCTCGACATCACCGCTGCCGGCAAGGGCCACTCCCTCGTGCTCGACAAGGCCACGGTGCGTCCAGCCACTCCTGTGTTGGTTTTCAATCGGCTGACTGGCATGACATCTAGCTCTCTGGCGGCCACTACTGATCGCACTGTTCCCGTTTTGTCTTCGGCAGGAGGACAAGAATGTTTGAGTTTTCTTTGAGTTTTCTGGAGTTCTGCTATCATCGGCCATGTACATCTATAATCCTTCTGTTGTCCATTTCAAATATGCAATCTAGATATGTTCCGGTCTTTTACTTTTGTCTCCATCTATACAAGTCCGGTCGAAGCTGGTTCGCTGCGTGCGGCTATCAACACCTGACGTGTTCGTCGCCGGGCTGGCATTCCGTTTGTTTCAGAGTCTGGCACTGGAACGGTGGCTCGCACGCGGACAGAAATGTATAGTCATCGACGCAATGGAGTTGGCCAAGTAGCATAGACACCGTCTGACTTGACGCAGAGATGTTGTCAGTGCCAAACTTCGAGCTCGACGACACTCCAGATACTGTTTGTGCCACTATGCGCAGATAGTTTGTCAAAGATTGCTGGAAGATTCAGAAACAAGATCCTTTCATGCACACAATTTTAAGCAGTGAAAGAGCGGTTTGCATTGATTGTTTTTGAGCTACTGCGATCATCTAAGGATCTAAAGAGTGGCGAAACCGACAGCGTTCTGGTCGACGTCGAACACAGTGTACTGGTTCTTCATGAACGCATCACCGAGCAGGAACACACGGGATCCCAATCCGAGGTCCTGCGCCGCCAGCGAAGACACACACGAGCGCGAACCCGATGAGGTGCGGCCGAGGTTCAGGTTCGCCGCGGAGATGGTCCAGTCGTTGCCGCCGTAGTTGAACGAGATCTGAGGCGGGTTCGAGCACGGGTACGAGTAGTAGCCTAGAACGATGCGTCAGAAATTTCGAGACAATAGCGCTAACAGAGCAAGCACGCACCGTTGGCGGAATCGTACAACTGTGCGCCCGGAACCTGGGCGAAGATCTCCCTCACGAGCGCAGGCGGGCCGTACATGATCGTCGTTCCCGAGTCGACAATGGTCTCGAGATTCGAGGCAACGGTGCTGCCGCCAACGTTGACGGACGCGCCGGTGACCTGCCAGAACCCGGACGACGACGTGATCCCGTTGAACTCGATCGAGCCGGAGTACTTGCGGGTGTCGGTTCCACCGATGTACAGCGACGAGCCGGAGCTCGCGAGGTAGAACCCGAACTGGTTGGCGGAGACGGCACCCTCGTTGATGGCCGTCTGGAAGTACGGGTCCTGGCCGAGGTTGGAGATGGCCGGGAATGCGAGACCGAGCAGGCCGTCAGCGGGGCCGCTGGTGAACGACGAAGACAGGGTCGTGACACCCGAGAGGTACTGCTGGCTGACAGATACACCCGCGACGGAGACTGGGCCACTGCGATGAGAGTGCGGTCTTTACGGGTGAGGAACATGGGCTTACCCGTGTCCGTGTAGATGGGCCCGGAGACAGTCGATCCGTCAGCGTACTGAATGGAGAACGATCCGGACTCGCGAGTAGAGGTCGACGACTGGTTGGGGTTGTACTTGGTTTTCCCCGAGCAGCTGGAGCGGCAAGAAGACGAGGGCACCCAGAGGTCGGAAGACCCAGCTGCACTTCATTAGCGTGTGTTTCCGATGGCACTTTGGATCCTCACTGTCAAAGTCGATGACGAAACGCGTCGCGGGCGTGCCGATGGACACGCTGCCGGTCCACTCTTCTTCCGATTGGTCGGTGAGCCCCAAGCTCTGACGCTTCTCGTGGCGGCTCTCCATCCGGGCCTGCACGGCGGCAGGGACGGTGGCGATGTTTTTGATCTCGGCACCCTGCAAATCCGTTCAGTCACAGAACATCCAGCACTCGATCGAAAGAACCACGCACCGGGTTGAAGAACGCTTCGCCCTTGTTCTTCTTCAAGTTGATCAAGTTTTGGCGGTGCTTGTTGATCGTCTTCACGGTCTCCGCGATGGCACCGTCGTGGTCGAACACGCCATCGGCAGTCGTCAGCGCGCTGCGGGCCCGGATGGGGACCGCGACTCCCTCCGGGGCCGGGGACGGGACGGCGCAGACCGAGAGGGCCAGCGAGACAGCGAGGAGGAGGGCGCTTTTGTTGAACATCGGGAACGAGGCGGTGTCGAGGGCGAAGAGCGAAGGAATGAACGATGTGAAGCAAGTGCTACTGAACAACCCTCGTCAGCTCCTCCTGCTTTTATGGCTCTCCCTTGCACGAATGTTCTCTACCATTTGTTCGCCGGAAGGATTTGATGCCGGTGCTCGACAGCACATGGATCCAGGAGAAACATGTGGCGCGCATAGCGACTCGCGCACGGCTCGTGTGGAACCCATTTCGAGCTGACTAGCCGTTATCCTGGTGAATGTTTCACTCGATGGTTGTGCCTACTGGATCGACGCCGCTCTGTTTTCTTCCTGCGCCATGTGATGCACTGTCCACCACGCGTGTGCCGTTCCGAGTCGAGCCAATGATCGCTGTCGCAGGCTGCGCTACTTGAACCATCGGGTGTCGCATGCGTCTACACAGAAACGTTGGCCATGACTTCGACGGCCAGATGATGAGCAGGGAGCGAGGAAATCATGCGAACCAGGTGTCTCCTCGCTGTCACATGCTCCCTCGTCGTTCCCTTACGATACCCATGGTAACTCGAAGCTGCAATGAGGTGCAGGAATCCGAGAGTACCAGGACGCGCGGCCGCCCTCCAGACGGCGGCCTAAGTGTCGGTGATAGTGACATACGCAGCGGGGGGAAGTTCATCGGAAGGCGGGCTTCCGAATCTCTGTCGCAAGTCGCCACTCGGAATCGGACTTCGAGTCAGGTGGTTTTCGCTTGTGATCCTGCCGACGGGAATAGGTGCCAATGGCAAAACCGCGCGACTCATCCCAGACTCCTTGGGCATGGTTCCGTCAAGTGAGGTTAACGGATCCGGCAAGAGAATGGATTGAATGCCTCGTAGTGATCGGATCATATCCGACGGAAAACGGTGATCCAGCGCTGGAAGGAGACAGACAGCACTTTTGTCAAATAGTAGGACGCTGCGTGTCCGAGGATGTGTACGCGCGTGCGCAGGGAAAGCAGACTTGGCCGTAAGAGCCAGGGCACAACGTGGGGGGCAAGGAGGATATACCAATTCAGCATAGGCTTCGTTGTAAGGCTTCGCACGACTCAAGCGCAACACGCACTGGAGAAACTTGGTATAAGCAACACGCCTGCTCTCCATTCCGCCCGAAGACAGCGAAAAAAGCACAAACGCGCCGCCGAATGTTTGCAGATACATCTTGGTGACCCCATTTCTTAAGAACGTCCCAGAAGGTTCCTCTTGTCAGAACGGCAGCTCAGCGCAATTTACGATGTATTTTGCATCCAGCGTCTCGTTCAAGACAGTTTTGAGCTCTTCAGTATCGTGAAAAGATAACCGAACCGTTCACTGCCCCGTGGATGCACCCAAACTGCTCCAGACGCTTTGAGGAACATCAACGCACTGGATTACAATCAAACGGGCTGGAACACACCTGCACCGCGCGACGAGCGCAGGGTCCGTCACGATGGTATGAACAACAGGGTCCCCGGCGGCAGTTCTATTGAACAGCATCTCCGCACGGCCCACGCTGTAGCTGCTCCAGCTGGGCGTGATAGTGCTCGCGTTGATCTTCTTGTTCGGATCGAGGTTGACGATGAACGACGTGAAGGACTGGGCGAACGCGTTGATGAAGTCGGTGTTTTGGAACGGCGGGGGGTTACTGGAGGGGAAGTAGTAGTTGAGGTCGTCGCCGTGATTTGCAGGGGGGATTGCAAATTCGCCCTGGGGTGGGAGATGCCACAATTGGAGATAGAACACGAATGAATGATATATCGCACCTTGAATGAATGATCCTTCGGGAATGCATCCAAGAGATAATATGTTGGGCAAATGAATATCGCTGTAATTCATGAGCATCCGGTCTACCGACGAGACAGTGTCTCGTACATTCTCCCATGATCGCTTCAACTTGGAATGTGTCCGTCCCCAATCCAGCATAGATCGAGGCAACGGTCTTCGCTTCTTCCAGGTCGACCTTTGGGAACAGCTCGAGTGTGTATGCAGTGACATTGGGCATAGCAATCGTGGTGTTCACAAAGATTGTACCCTCAAACTCGTTCGTGACTGCCAGAAGCGCTTTCTAGCCGGAAAATGAGTTCGCGGGACGTAGGCAGAACAAACAGCGCAACCCACCCCGTTCACTCTCCGTTTGCGCAGTGTGTCAATAGGTGCCTCGACGATAAACTCCCCGTCGATGACGGGAACGGTCGTGAACGTGCCGAAGAAACCGGCCGCGTTGATGTTGGTGTTGGCTGTTTGCAGCACTGTAGCATCGGTGGTGCGAAGACAGGAGAGGGCGTCCGCGGCAGCAGTGCAGCTGCATCACGTCAATCTGATGAGTTTATCCTTGATGTTTTCCGCACTTTGTTTGAGCCACCACTTGGCTGAAGAGAGACTGTTGAACGGCTTTCAAAAACAAAAACAAAACCGTGATCGGAAATTGAGCCAACCTCAGAGATCGGATCGTCGTATCTGTATTGGGGTGGCAGGAACGTGGAACTCGTGATGGCACCTCGGAATAGTTGAGGCTTGGTTCGGCCACCGTTTGCAATGACGTGCTGCAGCACGGAGCCAGCACCCGCACTGTCGTGGAGATAAGGATGGGGGGTGATGTGAAGAGTCGTTCCATTCACACACCTTTCACCCCAGATCGTGACTTTGGCTGGATCACCGCCGAATTTGGTAATCTGGGAAACGGTCATCAAATGATCTCGTCAGCATTAGGAGACATACATGTTGCTGCACCCAGCGCAATGCGAAATCTTGGTCGACTATGTCTGACGTGAGCAACCCAAGATTGAAATCCATGACTCGACGCACGAAGGCCAGCGTTGAGGGCGCCACCGTTTTTCACGGCAGAGCCGGCGAGGAAGCCTATCGGAGATCTCAGGTTGACGAAATTCTCCACCACACTAGTTGACTCGCACCGAAAACACCGAGCCGGTACTGGATGAGGACGACGACCACGTTGTGGTTGCTCTGCTGGATGATGTCGCCGCCGTTCACGGCTGACGAACCAAGGATATAGCTGAGAGCGCAGATCACATTCAGCACTGGCAGTGGGTGCACCAAGTGCTGAGACTTACCCGCCACCGTGTATCCAAACTATTGTCGGGAGTTTTTTCCCTGGCGTCCCAACGGCATCGCTGGGGTAATATACACTGCGAAGGGTATTCTAGGCACCCCTGATGCCCCTTTCATCTCTGAAAACGTACTTGAGGAATAGGCAATCCTCGCTCTGCACAACAGCCGCAGCGCGCTTGAGTGGGTTCGTAGCGGCTTCACCGAAGGGGGACTGGAAACATTCGTTCGGCTGCACCGTCGCAGATTGAACGCCGGAGGTGTTGAGCGGAGGCTGGGGTGCCCGGAACCGAAGGTCCCCTGGCCGCGAGTCAGACCGTATTTGGCGCTGGGACTAGAAACAATCACTTGCCTATGGGCGGTGCAGTATATCGAATCCCGATCAAACTTGTTATGTTGGTGGTAGTGTTCACAGCGCCTTGGTATTGGGCGTATCCCAAGTCGATGACAGGAGACTGTACTTGGGCAAGGGCCGAGCCGACGAAGGCCAGTGACAGAAGAGATCTGCGAGTTAACATGGCGAGGAAGCTGGAGCCGTACGCTTTCCTCCCGTCAGTCTTATATCGTCAGAGATGGCTTGCTTTGTCACCCCAGAGTCATTCTTCGCGCGGACCCGAGATGTGATCATGGCCCATTGGCTGGAGAAATTTCACGGGTTTGGTAAATTGGTAGAATGATTACCGGCTCGGTCCACATGAGCAACAGCCGGGATTCGCACTACATACATGCGTCAGGGTGTATGCAAAGGGTCAACAATCAACTTTTCCTTCTCGAGCACACAAAGTAACATCGACCTCACAGTTGTTGCCCCCAACCAACACTTTGAGAGCATTCAAGATATCCCCAGGGGTCTGCAGAGGTCGAGATACTTGTGAGTGGGTTACACCCCGGCATGGATGCTATTATTATGGAGATGAGACAAATGGGGCGAACACCGAGAGGCATGGAGATGAGCCGGAGCTCATCTCCTATTGGATCTCCTTCGTCCTAGTTGTCATGATTAATAAGAGAAATATTGTTTAAAATGATGTACTCAAGGAAGAAAAGGACCAGTTGTCCCACTCGACAGGTCATGGGCCCCAAACCCAAGATACCTGCTCACTTCTAGAAACGCACAAAGCCAAGGAGCACCGGGCAGCACTCCGAAATCAAGATGTCAAACAGTTCGGCATGACCAATTCAAGTCTCTCAAAAGTGCAGAATCATACTCCATTTGGAGCACAAAGACGATGGACATCTTGACGGACCAAGACCTCGAGGAATACGTGATTGTATCGAGAATAACTACACTTAGCGTCTCGAGCGATGCTGCAGGGGCTGCGGTGATGAATGAGTAGAAGAAGAAGCAGAGAGCCCTCTCATCAATTCGCTCAGAGTTGGGGAGGGACCTATGGCATAAATTCAAGCCTGCACCACGGCTGTTGACGCGTGGACCCGATGGCAACGGGCATAGCAACCAAACGGGGGAATTTTGATCATCCGGCTTGGGGTCTGAGACGGCACCTGTTCCGGACACTTTGCACAGCGTAGGAAAATCTCAAGGAGGATATTCAAAAACTCACTCAAACACGGAAAGCCCCCCAAAAGAAAATTTGGCCAAACCATTGATGAGGCCAAATTTGCGACTATAATCCTCACATCACTAACCGAATCATGGGACAGCTGAATCATGGAATTGACTCAACTACTATCAAGGAATCCGAAGAGATTGTTGCGCGGATCCACACTTCACCCCCACGGGAACTAATCAATCAACGCACGGTTTGTCTTTCATCAACCCTGCACGTGTTCTACTGGAATAGCCCCCTGGTGTCTAGACATTTCAACCTCTCTAGACACGGCTTGCCCCACCCTCGGTCATCACCTGGCCTTTATCGTCCCCTGGGGTCGAGCCTAGCTGGGAATGCAGTGACTGTTCATTCACGTATATACATCCTAAGTTTCAACGTCACATCAATACATGGCAAAGCGTGAGGGCACCGATTCATACTGCATCTGACCAGTAGTGCATACTGTAACTCTGTGGGGACAGAGCACGATCACGTGAAGCATGTTCAACGTTGTGCAATCTCGAAAAGCTCGTGTATATCATGCACAGTTGTGCGAAGCAAGATTCGACGAGGGGCGCGAAGGAGACCCATAGTATCAGCTGCTTTCACAGTGTCTCGGTGGAGCGGCGAAGGGTAAGTCCTTGAAGCACATATCGAGCTCAAGTCTCAACTAAGTCGACGGCAGCTCAACGTAAGCGACGATGTATTTTTGCATTCAACGTCTCGTTTAGAACATTTTGAGTTCAGACTCTCGTGAGAAGATTACCGCGTGGCTTACTGCCCCGTGGATGCACCCAAACTGCTCCAAACACTTTGATGAAACACGTTAGTCTAGTGGGATGCAATCAAATGACCTGGAACGCACCTGCACCGCGCGACGAGCGCAGGGTCCGTCACGATGGTATGCACGACCGGCTCCCCGGCGGCAGTCTTGTTGAACAGCATCTCCGTGCGGCCGACGCTGTAGCTGCTCCAGCTGGGCGTGATCGTGCTCGCGTTGATCTTCTTGTTGGGGTCGAGGTTGACGATGAAGGACGTGAAGGATTGGGCGAAGGCGTTGATGAAGTCGGTGTTTTGGAACGGCGGGGGGTTGCTGGAGGGGAAGTAGTAGTTGAGGTCGTTGCCGTGGTTTGCAGGAGGGATTGCGAATTCGCCCTGAGGTGGGAGATGTCATGATTTTGGAGAACCCATGAATGAATGCGATATCGAACCTTGAATGAGTGGTCTTTCGGGAAGGCCTCCAAGAGATAGTATGTCGGGCAGATGAATATCGCTGTGATTAGTGAGCATTCGATCCACTGACGAGACAGTGCCACGCACATTCGCCCATGATCGCTTCGACCTGGAATGTGTCCGTCCCCAACCCAGCATAGACCGAGGCGACAGTCGTTGCTTCCGCCAGGTCAACTTTCGGGAACAGGTCAAGTGCATACGTTGTCGCGTTGGGCACAGCGATCTTGGTGTTCACAAACACCGTGCCCTCGAATGCGTTGGTTACCGAGAGAAGCGCTTTCTGACCGGCCATTCAATCCAAGAAGGAAGCAAAACCCGTGGGAGAACCCACCCCGTTCACACGTCGTTTGCGCAGCGTGTCGATGGGGGCCTCGACGATGAATTCCCCGTCGATGACGGGAACGGTCGTGAACGTGCCGAAGAAACCGGCAGCGTTGATGTTGCTGTTTGCCGTCTGCAAGACTGCGGCACTGGTGGCGCGAAGACAGGAGAGGGCGTCGGCAGCAGCAGTGCAGCTGCATCAGGATCAATTTGATGAGTTGATGAGCGATGTTGTTCGCACTTGGTTTGAGCCACCACCTGGCTAAAAAGAGACTGTGGAACAGTTTCAAAACGAAATCATCGTGATCGGGTATAGAACCAACCTCAGAGATCGGGTCGTCGTATCTGTATTGAGACGGCAGAAACGTGGAGCTCGTAATGGCACCTCGGAACAATTGGGGCTTGGTTCGGCCATCGTTTGCGATTACGTGCTGCAGCACGGAACCTGCACCCGCACTGTTTTCGGAAATCAGATAGGGGTTCCTAAACAGTTCACTGAACACCCGCACCTTTCACCCCAGATTGTGACTTTGGCGGGATCGCCCCCGAATTTGGATACCTGGGAAACGGTCATCGAATGATCTTGCCAGCATCATGAGACGTACATGCTGTTGCACCCAGCGCAAAGCGAAATCCTGGTCAACTATGTGTGCGACATGAGCAACCAACGATGATAATTTCTGACTCGACGCACGAAGGCCAGCGTTGAGGGCGCCGCCGTTTTTCACAGCAGAGCCGGCGAGGAAGCCTGTTCGAAGTCTCAACTTGACGATGTTCTCCGCCTCGCTACGTAATTCGCACCAAAAGCACCGAGCCGGTACTGGATGACGACGACGACGACGTTGTGGTTGCTCTGTTGGATGATGTCACCGCCGTTCACGTTGTTTGACGAACCAGCGAGATATCTGGAAGGCGGATCAGAAGCAGCACTGGTAATGGGTAGCAACTTCTTGGACTCACCCTCCGCCATGGATCCAAACTAGCGTCGGGAGTTTTGTCCCTGGCGTTCCAACGGCATTGCTCGGGTAGAACACACTATATAGTAATCAGAGGCCCTACTGATCCCTCTTCTAGGTTGGGACACGCACTTGAGGAAAAGACAATCCTCGCTCGGCACAACAACCGCAGCGCGCTTGAGGGGATTCGTAGCGGCCTTTCCGGTAGACGCCTGGAAGCACTCGTTCGGCTGGACAGTTGCAGATTGAACGCCAGAGGTGTTGAGTGGAGGCTGGGGTGCCCTGAACCGAAGGTCCCCTGCTCGGGGGTTAGATCGCCTCCGGCGCTGGGACTAGAAACAATCACTCGCCTACGGGCGGTGCAGCATATCGAATTCCGATTAAGCTCGTTATATTGGTAGTTGTATTGACAGCGCCTTGGTATTGGGCATATCCCAAGTCGATGACGGGAGACTGCACTTGGGCAAGGGCCGACCCGACGAGGGCAAGTGACAGAAGAGATGTGCGGGTTAACATGGCGGGGAACTTGGACGCGAACAGTTTCCCCCGGATGCTTTATATTGTCAGAGATGACCTCCCTTGTGAGCTTAGAGACCATCTTCGCGCGGATTCGAGATGTGATCAAGGCGACTCTGTCTGGGAAGACGTCACCGCTTTGCTAAAACTGAGCGCGTACTCGATCGTGCTGAGTTGTTGGATCGGGAGGTCGAGCGCAAGGAAAGTCTGCGTGCGTTTCATGAGCAACAGACGGTCAGCCTTCAGTGTTAGCAGTAGGATGCGAGGACAGACTTCATACTTCCACGTCGGTCCGCTACCCGGCGGAGCTGTCACGGGATCACTTCGTGACTTGGGAGCGAGAGGCGTGCGTTCAAGAAGCAAAGAGTGCGGGTTTCTGACGTATGCATGTCATTGAAGGCAAGTAGAAGGAAGATCTGGTCACGGGAGCTACTGTAGGAGTACCCTCAGCGTTTCGAAATGAAACTGCAGTCATCGGCGGCGTGTAAGCAACGCGTTCTATGCAATCTGTTTCAAAAAAAATATCAGGAAGACGGATGTCGCAAGGACTGATATCGGATGAGAATGAGCCGCATTTTAATCGGTCTTTTCGGAAGGACCTGGCATTCGGAGCGCTCGATATTTGTGGCCTTGTTCATCGACCATACGTTTGTAGTTCTTTCTCGGAACAATCGTGATTTCCGAATAGGAGAAACATTGTAAGGATCAAGAGTGCAGACATGTCCGGGCGTGCGAAGACTTTGCGCGCCCTTGTCCTCGTCCAGTCTTTCAAAAAAAAACGTGCATTCTGCGATCAGTTCTCAGGAGACATCTTGACATCATACGAGCCGAGGTCGCACCGGGTTGCTATCCCCACGCATGGAGTCGCAGTCAAGAATAAATCCAGAACAAATGGAATTCCGATGCACGGTAAAGTACAAGGACCACACGTTTTGGGAAGACAATTGGTGTGATTGTTTGCACGCGTTTACGTGTTTCATGCGGCTAACCAAACACACTTGTACATTGTACTCCCACCAAATGGGAAGAATGGATGTGAAGAGAACAATGCGTGGTCCCGACTTCGCGGAAGTACATGTCTGATATAAATACTGGGCGGTCGTCGAGGAGTCAATAAGATTCCCGGTCTCTCCCATTCCGCTCTCCACGCTCGACGCCTGCATTTTACGCCTCTTTACGTGCTCATTCCTCATCTCATCTAGACCGTCTTGGCCCTTTCATTTTACGACCACACCAGCATTAGGTGTGTCTCCTCCGTATCTTCTTATAGCAGCCCAATCTCAATCTCCCAGCATCTCCTCGATCGCCGGACGATACCCACTTACTTTGCCATGTCTACCTCTCCCATTCCTCACGTCGTTGCCTACCTCACCCGCCCCCTGGCCGGCGTGTTCCCTGCCGCGCGTATCTCCTCAGCCCAGCTCATCCTCCACGCGTCCCTGGCTACCTCCAGTTCTGCCACGACTTTCACGCTAGCCTCGGACTGCACCCTTCCCCCCGCTCTTCTCGCCGCATCCGTCGGCGCCAATGTCCCATGGTCAGCATGGTATACCGCCCTCGGTGGCAGCACGGACAGCGCCATCGTCCTCTCTTTTGGGCCTGGCTACGTCAGAGCCCGTGTCGGGGACGGTGCGGTCGTCAGTGTCTGGAGCGAAGAGGCGCAGGGCAGCATCGTCCCGATCTCCCGAAGCGTGAGGCAACACGCGCACTCTCAGTCGCCCGACGCCCGCTGTCGACTGTCGCTCCGCTCCGTCGTGCTCTCCGCGCGCGTGCGCGCCCATCGTCGCCAGCAATCGATCGAGATCGAGCCCATCCGGATCCCCAGTCTGCTCTTCTCGCCCGACAGCCACTCTTCCGACAGCCACTCTTCCGACAGCTCGTCTGACGACGGCGATGTCTCGGATCTGGAGAGCGACAGCGGCGCGTCGTCGTACACGGCGTACTCGAACAGCAACGCCGCTTCACCCCCCGCCACGCCCCCGAAGCCCACACGTGTGCTTCCCACTGCTGCCTCTCCCCGTGCTGCTCGGCCAGCGAAGCGCGTATCGCCCCGCACGACCGATCTCACTGCATACCTGTATAAGGGTGGGGTCACGCGGGTCATGACCGGTGGTGTCATGCTTGGCCCTCGCGTTCTCATTCGCTCGACCCGCTCTTGAGCGATTCGTTCATCCATCTGCATTCCCACTCCTCCTCCTCCCCGCCTAAAATTCGCCACGAAATGTCTTCTCTGTCTGTCTTTTAGCTGTACCCCGCTGCCGTATTCCTTTGTAGCTCATGGAAACTCGTGTATTGTAACCTCGAACTCTAATCTGTATCCGCCTACTCATCTCTTTTCGATGTAACTATAGCATGACCGTCTAACTGTTGACTTGACTTTGCCTGTATATATATCATCATATGCCTGGCTTTTAAGGAAGCGTCCTCCCGGCATGGCGGACCGCCGGGCACCGCGATCACCGGATACTCCCCTCTCTGATTCGCGGCCATGGTTTGCGCCGCCCGTCGCGCGAAGATCAACTGCTGCTTCGGAGCCAACCACAGGTCCAATGAGGAGGGGTGGTTCCGCATTTTCCCCCTCGTGTGCACAGAGCGGTACGTTTACTCGCGCACAACCACCCCTGCCCCAGACTGCTCCCAAGGCCTCTGAAGAATGAACGACAGTATGAGAAGCGCAGAGTCTTGGCGCCTCCGCACATGATCCTCTTCTCAAATAACACGATGCAGCCCTAACTGCGATCGAGACTTCTGCCCACATTGACTCGTGGACGCCGCACAATTGCTCAGGCGTGCGGACCGGGAAGCTCGATCACTGCAGTTTCACTCGTCCAGTTCGATTCAAGGGTGGGAGAAATGATTGACTACATAAAAGTGTGGTCGAGGAAATCGTCGGATAAATCGACAATGTTGTAAAGAGAGCGCTGCGAGCGTACTTCTGCAAACTTCCATCGAGCGACGGTTGCGAGGGTAGACTGAGATACTGGGTAGCTGACGCCCCCGGTCCGCGAGTAGATTGGCTGTGCTACGTTCTTGTCGATCAGGGCACTGAGAAGAGCCCTAACACCTTTGGACCAGCGATCGTAATACAAAATCTTTCATAGAACTCAGTTCAGTGATAGGCCCTGCCTCGTGGTCGCACTTACCCATGCGGCGAACGCATCCTGGGACAGGAGACTGTGGGCATCGCACACCGACAATCCAACGGTCAATTCGGCAGCGGCGTTGGCGAGCTTGGCATTGTCGTTACGAAAAGCGTAGTCCAGCACATGAAGAGGGTGATCTTCCAAGGATCTTCTGCATCCATTCATGTAAAATCCACACTCTGTCTGCTGTGCCGTTGATATAAACCACTCACGCCATATGGATGAGGATCGCAGGGATCGCTGCGTTGACTGTATACTTCTCAGCCGCGACGGCCAGCCGGGTGACCACGAGGAAGTCGACCGCAGACAAGTCGGGCTGCGGCTGATTGTACATGTACCGAAACAGGACGTCCAAGGTGGCCGAGTCCTCCGAGAGCTCGACGATCTCGTCCTTGTTTTCAATGACCGATCCTGTCACCGCCGCGGCGTCGGAGAAGACAAGCGAGTGGACCTCCAGGTTTTTGCGATGGAGCTTGAAGAGAACATCGTCAGACGACTGGATGATCACATCATGGTCGGGCGCGCAGACTAATGACCGTGTACGATCAGAGCGATCAGAAAGAGGGAAGGAGACCACTGAATGCTTACAGCGCTCAGAGATGGTTGTGGTCGGGACGGATTCCATCGCAGCCGAATGCGTTGAAGCGCGGAAAGAGCCTGGAGTAATGACTCAGCACTCGTGGGAGCCTTGAGGCGAGGCTCTGATATTTCGGTGGGTACATGTACAGAACGGTCTCCAGATTGAACCGCAAGTGGTCAAAGGCGAATGGCTGATTGTACCATCGCCGCGGGGTGTTCGGCCGTCACTAACTGCCCAATTCGAAGAATATGAATAAAGATCAAGCTAGGGAGATTGGGATGTTGTCTTGTGACAGTGGAGTGGTGGTGGTTGACTGCAAGTTTCTCATCTCTCGTCAACCGTGAGATGACTCGGATGGTCTGATGCCATCAGCCTCTCCGAAACTCACCATTGAGGAACTTGGCTATCCACGATGACATCTACCTATCGAGTCCGAGTTGAGCCAGGATCAAAAATCTGACATCCAAATCCCAAACGGAGGGGCATAGAACGAACTGGGCACTATCTCATTTTGCAGTCCTGCCTGAACGGCCTCTGCACGCTACGACACGCTGCCTTCCAGGGGCAGATGAGCTAGAACACATTCGTCAAGGAGATTAGATAACCCAAAATATGGGGTGAAAGTACGGAAACACATCATCCTGGACAGAATCTGATCTCAAAGTTGCGCGGAGCCAGCTGTAGCTATCGGAGCAGAATTTTTGACCAATTTGAGTTACATTAGATGGTGGTAGGCGGCGAATTTCAAGACGAGCTCTAGCTGAGGACTGGGACTCAAAGAGCAAGTGTAAAACGAGTCAATTTACCTGTCGTAACCCGAAAACAACTGGCACTTGTCCCTGATATGTGTCCCTCCAATCTTCCTCATCTTCTTCACAATATCGTGCGACAACTCCTGGCTCATTTTTTGGGTTCATATCTAAGACAGAATGAATAAATTATAGCAGCTTGTGCAGAATGGAAATCTGTGTGATTTCGTTGTAGTGATCCCGGTCGCTACCACATAGGATGTGATGTTTTCGACATAAATCTGCCAGTTGCACCGATTCCATCGTTTTATGCCCTCAGACACGTCTCTCACTCTCGGCAGAGTGACGCAGGGGTGCGGAATGTGCTCTCTTCCAGGGGGCGGGTGAAGCAGCGCAGTCAAGCCAAGCAGCATTTAGGGAAAGGTGAGACGAAGCCAAAGCACGTTCAGAATTCTTTTCATTGGGCGATTTTCATTAATTAGCGAATTGGATCTTTGCAGTGCCGTCAAGAATTCTCGCGGTAAGATCTACATTTAGATAGAGAGCACTGTCAATGAGTGGCAATATCGTGAAAGAACCAGAGAGGGCAAAGCTGTGTACTGGGCCAAGAGCAGTAGGAAATAAGTACTATCTACGAAGCTGCATGATATGTCGATGGGCGCCCCCTCCGGTCATGGCGAGAGGCTGCGCAATAACCTCCAGGGGCGGTGTATGAGCAGGCTTCTTTCACTACTGCCAGCGCCTTCTACAAGCTCTTCTCTGCTACCATCGGGTCTACACTCTGCAAACTTCGCAATGCGTGCAATAAAGGTGAGAGGTAGCGGTGGGAGTCAGATGTCGAGCTCTGCTGTAATTGGGGTGGTCGGCGGCGCAGGTAAGCTGCGCTCGAGGCTCAGCCTAGTCATCTACAGCAGCCGGGCAGCGTGCGATGGGGTCCCGTGCAATAAGTGGACTTCGATCTTGTTCCAGAGCCGCGGGGTTCCCAAAATATTGCGCCGCCACCAAGATAGTCCAGGCCAGTGCGCATGTAATGCCATCTGACGTACATCGCACGATTGTGTCGGCGAGAATCTCCAAAGAAAGGGATGGGATGGGACAGCGATAACAGCTGGTCGGATTTTCGTTTGAGTATGGCGATATCGGCGTCAAGGCGATGTGCTGAGCCTAGGATGAACCGCGTTAGATGCTGGACAGACAGGACTTCCTTGCTGTTTGTAAGGGCGAATGTCACTTTTGACAGTCCTTGCCGATCAGCGCATATCGCAAACGATGATCACATAACAGATCATGATCAGCGATGTGAGGCAGATTCCTCGAACTCGTAGTCTTGTCTGTACAACCCTAGGATCTAGAGTTCACCTGAGGGGAAAATGAGACTGATCTCTCCGTCAAAAAGAAATAAAAACAGAGCCAGGTTCGCGTAGCATTTAGCGGAGAATGATGCTGGGAGGGTCATCAAAGACTGGCAGCCTTACTTGCTCAAGTTGCTCCAGATAAAGTTGGAGCGGGCAGGGAAAGCTTCCGTTTGAAGTCCGCTTTCATGAGAATCCATGATTTGTCCCTCAGAACTGTTTTGTGGCTGTCGGAAGACAGCGGAAAAGTCCGCAGATATCGACAGTTGGGCGAGACGTGGAACTTGCCGGAACCAGCTAGTCTCGTAATACCGCCCAGCTCCTCGTGGAACTTTGTTGGGAAAGATGGGAAAAGAAGATCGAAGCCGCTCTCATTGGCCACAGAATTGATGGGAACACGATATGGATACCGGCGCGACAGTCACATTGAATTCGGAGGCGCAAATAGCCAGGGCGGGCGGAGAGAGCTATCATCCATCTGGTGCTCGGCCGGGGAACGAGTTTCAGCGCAGACAGTGTTTGAGATGGCTGTCACAGACGGGGGAATCTCAATGACTCTGAGTTCATGTAAGGTGCAGATCCAGAATGCAAGGCGCTGGCCCAGAGGCAGGTCATGCTCTGTCCAAAGTACTCCATTCGAGGCGACGCGGCAGACGTGAGATATGGGACCTATACAGCCTGGACGCCTGGAACTCCTTGATGGTCTCCATGTGAGTCCAGGTGATGGTCACACACGTCACAGTACAGATTTCCCAAATGCGGATGAGGAATTCTCGACCGCCTTCGCTGTGAATAACCAGCTTACCCACTACCAACTCACTGCACTCATCGCCGCCTCTCCAATCCTCGGCTTTCCCTTCCACTCCACATATTTGCTCGTCGACCACTGCCCTTCATTCAACCCACCACCACGGCTGCTCATCTGATGTCGGCCCCACCACCGTCGCGTGCTTCCCTCCGCAAGCAACGACTGCTCGAGCTGGAACACGAGCAGCGTATGGAGGATATGGAAGCCCTCAAAATGACAGAGGTATGGGTCTGCATCAGCGTTCCAGTTGGTTCCACAAACTGATTCACCGCAGGAACAACGCCTGCTATTGTTCCACTCCTTCCGCTCGGTCAAATTCGAGTGGTGCGACCTGGACGGAATGCGCCCAGCGACGACGTTTGTTCCCCATGTTGCGCCCACCCGTCGTCGAGTTACTGTGAGTACCCGTCCTGCCTGCTCCACACGCCCCTCGATCGGGGTACTCTCCCGTTTGCAAATTCGATTTTCGTTTCCGCCATATTTGAATTGGACTCACCAGACTGACGCCGCTCTTCTAGTCATCATCAATCCGCCCTCCCCCCGCCCGCTCGCTGCCCCCTTCGCCTTGCGAGCAGGCTTCGCCTTTCGCTCGGTGCTCGGCGCTCAATCCCCCACCGCGGTATGAAGCTTGTGCCAATGTGACCCACTCGGACAAGGTTTCGGCTCGGCTCGCTTCTCTGGGGAAGGACGAGACGATCCGCGGGATCCCCTTCCCGCCAGCATCGGTCCCGGCCCTCGCGGCCCAGTCGCACCAGCCAGTCGCCCGCCGTCCGCCGCCCGCCTACCCGGGCGTGAAGCACGTGTCACCGTCGACCCTGCGCCCGCGGAAGCAGCGATCCTCTGTGAAAGCGCTGTTCGTGCTCGGCCCCCCTGATGAGGACGAGTCAGACGACCAGGACGCCTGGACCGACGAGGACTCGGACGAGGAGGTGTTCGTGTACCCTGGGGCCGGCGAACGCGACGACGGAGATTGGGACGAGGACGACGCGGAGCTCGCCACTCCAGTCGCGACGGAACCCAGCTGGCGCTTCGAGGATGCACTGGATAGTCCGGAAACACCGCGCGCGTCCCAGTATCTTGTGGAGAAACCACGGTGGTAGCAGGCGTGCCTGGTTTCCGCGAAACTTACGACCCGTGATGACTCGGATGTCCTCTGCATTTCACTCTCTCGCTGTCTCGCTCTCACTTTCTCTGTCCTTGTCTCTCTCGTTCTTTCTTCCTGTCTCTCTCTCTCTCAATATATCATGGAAATCACACATCGCTCATTCATCTCAATCAATTTCTCCTTCCTATTCTATCCCATACAGTTATTATCCTACTCCACGCTATCGTCTCTCATTTTCTCGCATAATGTATATCTGCTGCCTATGTAGTGTACACAAAGTCTGTAGCATCTTAGTCGCGCAATGGATGGTAGATGCTTATGGGTGCTTATCTAAAGCCGGGTGCCGAGACGATGACGTTGCCGTCGAGGACAACGACGACGCTGGCTGCTGCTGCATCCGTGACCGGCACGCGAGACTGATACTGCAAGTTCTTAGGCTTGACACTTGTCTGGATTCTGCACACGCGTCTTGAACTGAGTCCCCTAGTACCACCATGCCCGTCCTGTCCAAGTAGTATGCAAATGTAACTGGGCGCCTTCTCATGTGTCTGCGAGTATTGCGGTCGCTCGGAATGCTTGACATGTTCCCTGACATGCCCGGCTCCCCATGATCGCAACCGGGACCTTTTATCAGAACCTTTCTTGGAGCCAACAAAGAACGTGTAGGACAAGCACTTGCGATTTCGTCTGCAGGTCTGGGATGGAAGCTGGAGCATAAATTCAACGTGTTGATCACTTGACGGCATAAAACTGCGGCCCTTCTGCTGAACTAATGGATGTGATACAGCACGTTTTCTGAGCCTAGTAGCGACGGTCATCATAACCACCGCGTCCTCCGCCGCGACGGTCTCTGTCATCACGATCATAGTCCCGGCCGCGGTCATCTCTGCGACCATAATCGCGTCTGTCGTAGTCGCGCCGGTCACGGTCATCGTAACGCCCACCACGACGGCGATCATCGCCGTCCCGGCTGTAACGCGAGTCATACGGGCGGGGATCGTATGGGCGCTCATCTGACAGACTGATCAGATTGGCGTCCTCGGAAAAACGGAAAGTAGCACCATCACCTCTTTTCGGAGGACCATGGTAACGTCCCGGAGTTGGAGTGCGGGCACGACCGCGACGAGCCTGAGATAGAGGTAAGTAAATGCAGCCACCAAAGATAAGGTAACACACTTTTTGGATGCTGAGGGTCTTTCCTGCTAACTCCGTTCCTTGCAAAGCCGCAATAGCAGCATCAGCCTCCTCTGGGGTCTCCATCGTCACGAACCCGAAGCCACGCGATTCACGAGTGTGGGGGTCAAACATGATCGAGGCTTTTTGGACCTATTGCGAGACTTGAGTTAGAAAATCAACTGCCGCTGCGGTAAGAAAGCACGCACCCGGCCCGTCTTGGCGAACGCAGTCTCAAGCTCATGCACCTCGAGACGGTGGCTCAACCCAGAAACGTGCAAGTTGTTCCCTGGGTTGTCACCTCCACTGCAATTCCCATCAGTGCCACGAAAACAAGAGTGAGATGACCGGATACTCACCTTTGGCGAGCAGGGCTGCGGCTGCGGCTGCGGCCCCGACGTGCATCCCGACCACCGCGATCGCGGTCCTCGTGCCCATTGGCGTTCCACGACTCTGCCGTATCAGGGTGCGCAGAGAGCGCATCGGTAGGGATGTGGATCCCCGTGTTATCTTGGGACTGCCAAGCTATGGGCGTAGAGTGTAAGCAGGGCGTCATCGGTATGGAATGTGTGCATGGCAGGGTGGGCGACGCGTCGCGAAAAGAGAGGTGAGAAGAGCCGAAGGCGGGAACAGGCTGCGGTCGAAAGCATGCGCCGCAAGCGCAAAGAGCTGTACTAGTTCCGAAGAAGTAATGGTGGAGGCTGAAACGCGAGACCACTGTGGTCGACACGCCCATGAAATGTGCACGACAAGGAGGCCACTATCGACACGTCACGAAGCGAGGACAGCGCCGAGAAGTACCACAGGTGAAAAAGACCATGCTGAGACATCAAACAACAGCTTCATCCGCTCAAGCATGCTAGCAGCACTGTTGTACGGTGAGGAGGTGAAAGGGGCTGGGACACGACACGCGACGAGGACCGAAAACTCGGGGGTGCAGCGGGAGGTGGAGTGGTGCAGGGTGTATTTAACGGTGTACGGATACTGCAGGCGAGAAGGCGAAGGCGAAGACCGTACCGTCTTCCATGATGTTCTTCGGTCTTCAAGTGGGCTTGAGGTCGAGGTCGAGTGGGAATTCGGTGGCGGTGAAGTCACAATTTTCGACGAGCAACAGCGGCGTGACGTTCAATTGTCCGTCACGGGTAGAATATCTCTTGTCAGGCAGAAACGCTCGATGGATGATATTGCTAACTCGTGCCCTACGGAAATCATCTCATGAAAACCTGAAGGTATACTCTAACTCTTAACATATTGCTGGTTCGAAACAATTTTCACTCAAACTTTGGTCATTAGATTCCTCGCACTCGCCACGCCATGCCTTCGCTAGTACTTGTGTTCTCCATGGAAGATTGGATGAATTAAAATGTGCAATTTGATTAGACGGTCAGCCACCTCAGCCACCACCATTGCTACAGCTTGAGAGAGCTTCTGATCCATTTTCTACTCTGTGCCGATCTGAAAGGTGAATTCTAATATGCTGGTGATTGCCAACTGATTTTTCGAATTGTTTTTACCTCACTCTCAAATATTGCAGCATGGACGTAGTGCAGCTCAAAATTTCTTAGTCGGAATGTTGATATGAACGATCCAGCCTAAGAAATGCCAATGCAATTCGCGTACAAGAACACGCAAGTTGTCTCTGCCAACCCTTTTGAAATGATATCTGCGGCATCAATATTTGGGCTGAACCACTATGAAGGAGGCAGAGGACACCCCCACAGTCTCTTAGACTCAAAAGACAAAATTACAACAGCTGCATAAGTAACGAACTAGGCACTGCTTCTAGCAGCGTTATCCTCCATATCGGGGAGTCATGTTGAATGGCATAGTCCAGAGCCAGGCTCGAACGGGCGCTGTTTGATGTAGCGTCAGCAAGAAGGGGTCAAAGCCCGTTTCGCGCAGTTTTCAATGGCTAAGGAGGGCATACCTCATTTGATGCTAGCAGAAAGCAGACGTCAGATTCGTCTGATGTTTTCTGCCGCCTCAGCCACACGACAAAAGAGTTCAAATGACGACACACATCAATCAATCGCTTTTCTGGGATAGATGGATCGGAAGAGCACACCCAAGACATAGGAAGCCTCGATGAGCTCTAGACCCGAAGCACAATCCGTGCTGCACTTCTGTCTGGTCCGCACCCTCGAAAGCAGCGGTCTGCGACTCAACATCAAGGGAAGGTATCACGTTGTCGGCCAACGGGATCGTCAGATCGGCAGTCGAATCACAGATGATATCCTGTCAGACCAACCGACAATGCAGAAACCTGAGAAAACTGCATTGCTCTGAGCTTTTCGACTCGAAAAGCTATGTCACTGGTATCAATGAGCGTGTGGGAGAAAACGGCTGTCCAGCCCGCGGCACTTGTATATTTCCTATTCCATGGCTTGATTCTTGATCAACCGTACAGACGCCTTATGACGGAGCGCCGATGAGATTATATCCACAATTACGGGGCAGAAATCCAATGTTTCAATCCGGAGGAAGACATGCGATATATTGAATCTGCGAGCCTGACTGGAGAAAGTGAAGCATTAGTGGCGGTGCAAGATTGATTGTCTGTATGTACATCGTCCTTCCAAAATGGCAACCTTCGTCTTGTCTATTTCCCGGCACCCATTGACTCTTCAAGGCTGGAAACATTGCCCGGAAGCCTTCTAGGAACTTTAAAGCTGCCTTATCAACTCTAAATGACCAGCAATCGGTCAAACGTCCCTCAAATCCTGCGATGAAGTCAATGAAAATGAATCTTCCGCCTGTCCAATTGCTGTTTCCACTTGGCTCGAGCGTTCTAGGGCTCACGTGCACAACTTCCGCTCATTTGGGGGTCTGCGTCAGCAAAACGCTCCACTTCTCTCCTCTTGCCACTCACTTGCGGCTTGCACTCCCGCTCATCAAATCGACATATGGCTCGCACCAAGGTACTGATTGCTCCGTCTCAAGGCCCAAACCCACTCTAATCGTCTCGGGACGCTAGCAAACTGCCCGCAAGTCCACAGGAGGTCTGTCGTCATTGCAGACGTCGGCGATAACATGTTACCAAAAAATTGCACAGGCAAAGCGCCCCGTAAGCAGCTCGCCACCAAACAAGCACGTAAGACCGCTCAGGTGGGTCCCGCCCTCCCTCCGTCACTTTCCCCGCCTCCGTCGCCGCCGCCGTTGTTGGCATCTGTTGACTCATACTGATGCGTTCCTCGCAGCCTGGCGGTGCCACCGGTGGTGTCAAGAAGCCGCATCGTTTCCGGCCTGGAACGGTCGCTCTCCGTGAAATAAGACGTTACCAGAAGTCGACGGAGCTGCTGATCCGCAAGCTGCCCTTCCAGCGACTCGTGCGTGAGATCGCACAGGATTTCAAGGTCCGTCCCGGTGACGATGACTCGCTCGCGGCTGGCTGATCGTGACTCCTCGGTGCCTAGACTGATTTGCGGTTCCAATCCTCGGCTGTCATGGCCTTGCAGGAAGCTGCGGAGGCTGTGAGTCGCTTGTATTATGTTACCCGCGTCGGTCTAACGCTGCACAGTACCTCGTTTCACTCTTCGAGGACACTAACCTGGCAGCTATCCACGCCAAGCGTGTTACCATGTGAGTCGAGCGGCTCATGCGGACACCGTTCATTGTTGATCCTTGTATCCAGCCAACCCAAGGATCTCGCACTTGCTCGTCGCTTGCGCGGCGAGCGCTCTTGAGGGCCCTGCGTGCTATCATCGGCTTCGGTATCTGCCGACCTTCGAGACTCGTTCCACGTACATACTGCTAAGGTAGACAAGTGTTTGAATACGAATATAATACATGTATGAGATCAAACTGGAACCTACGCATGGCGAAAGTGTTTTGCCTCAGTCACGGTCTCGGTGATTCATACCTACGCAGTGAGCCGAGTCCCTGCTGACACTCGCTGCCGGACTGCTGTCCCGAAGCGACACGCAATTGGTCAACGTGATCTGGTCTGTGCGCATGTGGCATGTGGTCCGTGCACACCCCGCATCGTATATAAACCACCTGCCAACGTCTAGTTCTGCATACTTACCTTGATGGCATAAGCTCCTTCATGGACCTGGGCTTTTGGGCCGTGGGAACACTCCATAGCACGGCGACCCTGTCCATTCCGAGTGGGCCTGCGGTTTGTATGGGCTTCGGCTCATGCACCGTCTCAATATTTTCCTGTTCCGCCACGGCCACTCGGCCAGGCGGGCCCCGCTTTTTTTTGGTTCTCGAATCGCTTTAACCCTAACCCCATCCATAAGCCATCCGCAAACTATGGTGCGCGCCGCTTAGTCACCGCTACCTCAGAACAACTGCCAAATCGGCCAGAGGCCGAAATTTTTTCGACACATATCAATTACACCATAGATTTTGTATCAATATTCCCTTCTCTTCTCAATGCTTAGAGCAGTGAGCACCTAGAGCAGAACACTCTGAAGGATAACATGCCCCTTACACTTGCTTCAGTTCCAGTCAAGACAATACAAAGATGGGAGCATCAAATGATTCAATGGATGCAACCATATCGGAAGGGATTGGAGGCTTGTGATGCACAATTGGAGGTCTACCAGTTCAAGTCAAGAGTTTACCAGTTCACACAGAAGGATTTCTGAGGCCGTGGCCCACTCATTCGATCAATAAATACCAATTTTTCTACTTACTGCCAAATTGACCTTGTTGAAATTTTATGACTTTCTCAGGGATTTAGCTATGGCTTATTCCTCTAGCCATTCGACTCCTTGCATGAAAAGAAGTCGAATCCCAAGAGGGAAAAAAAATAGGTAAAAAACTGCGTGACTAGTAACGTTGTTACTCAGGTAGCGGTGACTAAGCGGCGCGCACCATAGAGCCTGGATAGAATAAGTTTGAGAACGGTTTAATCTGGTCTTGGGTACAACCATTTCATCGGACCACTAATTGTGCTCCTGTTACTTGAAGTCTTCACTCCGAGTTACCATATTTGCAACGCTAATCCAGAAATTTCATTCTAGCAATTAATAATTCTGACCTTCCTTGGAAATGATGACCAATATCCGATCTTCGAACCAACCCAGATATTGCATCAGTCTGCAGACTCCATTGATTGTTAGGTGAAGAGTCTTGTGCAAGCTTGCTTGGCGGACATCCAAAATCCACAACCTCTCACCTCAGCGCTGCTGCTGTCAAACTCATGCACCAGATATTGACCGACCAAATCCCTCTGATGTGAATGTGATCCTGCTCATCCGAAGCATGCTGCGGCAAACTTGTTGAGCCAAAAAATCACAACATGATTTGGTGTTCATGAGCAGGGCCATCGCATGACTCTCTGTTGCCAGATGCTAAGATTGCACTAACAATGCTCAACCAGTCAGGTTCGGAAACAAAAACGGTCTCAAGTTTCAACCGGCCAAGTAGTGAGCGAACGGCAGATGTCCAGATCACATTTAGATGAGGAAAGAATCGATCGAGATTTCTGCTTTAGTAGTTAACTGCTTAGCTCGGATCGTGTATCCAATAAAACGGTCATCAGCTTTGGGGAATGTTAATTCTCATCCAACAACTCCGTCAACGTGTTTGCTCTTATCTCGATCGACTCAGGATTCTCAAGTAGAAACGACTTGAAAGAAATAATAACCCGCTGAGGCTCGGGCGGAAAGCCGCTTCCTTTGTCGTCGACATTTTAATGCACATCATAGCACTCGACCGGATAGCCCCAATTGTGGCCAGTTTATCGAGTGAGATTTGACCGACATGAAGCCAATCAAAGATAGGGCACTTGTGCGAGAGCGAGCCAATGAAAAGATGCACCTATCATCACGTGTATTTCGAAACCTCCTCTCCGAACTACCAGATCGGCGTGCGATTGTTCATGCACACGGTCCCTCGCAGCATGAGTTCTTCCCCTTGGGGAGCTGTCCAGACGAGTCTCTACACCAGCCCCGTTCAGGATCTCATACAATTGATTCTTGGGGTGGGGTATCGAAGTAAACAATTTCGGCTATAACTGCAGGCGATCGTGATTGGCCGAGATGTATAGCTGCTTGTAGGTATTTGAAATAGTCGCATCCTGGCGACGATTTCTCACCGAAGGCGACTTAGCAGATCACGCCGAGCTCTGTGCTGGTATCTCTTCCACTTTGACCACACTGGGCTCGATCTGCACTGTCTTGCGGTCCACCTCGTGGGACTCCACATTGGGATCGATGTTCTCGCTGTCGCTGGGCGCTGCTGGTTTGAGAATGGATGTCCCGGGGGCCGATGCCCGAGAGAGATTATCTGGGGCCCGCGCGATAGGGTCTTCGACCTGCGACTCGGAGGCTTCCTGGCTGCGTGTGGTGACCATACTTGGGGCTTTGGAGTCCCTGCACTGACATCATGCATCGTCCCAATACATTTATGATGTGATATGATGAGATGGATGGATGTGCGAAAGGGCACCAAGATGACGTGGTGGAAAGTATGAGCTCTTCAATATAAGCGTTGTATAACGAATGGTCCCTAACGCCACCTCAGGTAGCTAGCCACACGCCTGAGCGGTCTCGACATCGGCCGGCAGCTTGCAGGTGCACGATTGTTCTAAAAGGAATCGGATAACGATCCTAGGTCTTGGGAAGGAAGCTTAACCGACAATATCATTGATCCATGATGGGCGCGGGCGTTCCTGACGAAAAGCGTCGCACGAGGGCGGTCTAAGCACAAGGGACAAAACTTTACAGAGTTTCAGAGTGACGGGTTCCGATAAGAGCGAGTTAGAATCTGAGCCGCTCGGGTTGCTTACATCAGATAGTATATGAGGCGAGCATCAGCAGACAGGTCGGCGTTGTGGCTGTGCACTCCGCTTCGGCCGCGAGGAAGACCTGTGACGAAATCTGGGTCCTAAACGTCGTCAGAGAGAGATCCAGGTACTGGACATCGTCAAGATCCTGCGAAGGATATGATACATCCCCGCCTGTGTTCTGCCGTGTGTCGTATACGAAAGAATTGGGCTAATCTTTGGCTCCGGTGGCCCGTGCGCATCAGAATCGTGAGAAGGGCTTTTCTCATTTGCGACGTGTAGTAGTCTTGCGCTCGTTGTTGTTCTCTTCTCGCCGTTTTGTGCGAGTCTTTTTTGAACCCCACGCTCGTTTCCGTACGCCAAGGCTCCAATCCCTCCTTTCATCGTTTCGAACGGTTTCGCCCTCCCACTCATCCTTTTATTGAGGCACTTCGTACCCTTCTTTATTCGCCATGGACGGATCCCAAGCAGCCTTCGCGCAGCCTTACTCACCGTATTCGTTTGATCTCGATATGATGAAAGTGAGTGCGACTGTTGTCAGGGTGTATTTGTTTTCTGATTGTCGATTTTCCTCCTTTTCCGCCTTTTCCACCTCCACGGTCCATTCGTTGGCCTTTTCCTCCCTTCGCTTGCGTCCTTTTCCCTGTTCCCCGCCCTTTCTCTATTCTTCTTCTAGCGCTCGATGGACGGTGCAAGTGGCCCTGACTCGAAAAAGGCACGGTGGTCGCCGACGGGAACGTCTCCGGGTGCTGCTCGCGACATGTACGGTGCCAACTACGGCTACAATGGACAGGCCGCTGGTTCGTTCCAGCAGCCCAGCCCCGCGCAGAGCTTTTCCAACAGTCCCCTGTACTCGACGCCCACGCTTTCGATCAACACCCAGAATATCAACGGTGGCGGACATGGTCAGATGAGCCCCAACACCCTCGCTTCTTTCCAGCAAGCCCAGCAGCAGGCGCAACAACAAGCACAACAACAGGCCCAGCAGCAGCAGCAAGCGGCGAGCCCCGTGGTCGGCTCTCCGTACACCCAGTTCACACCGTACAACATGCTCGCGATGGGGTCGTTCCCTTACCCTCAGCAGAACGGACAGGTGAGCCTTTCTCTTTCGGATCCCCTCCCTCTCCGCTTCCCCCGAAAACGCGCTGCCACTGCTTGTTTGGTCCACTCGAATCCCAGCACGATAGGCCGAGCTCCAATCGGATAGGGCTGATTGCATTAACCCACCCGTTACCCTCACACAATCTGATCGCAATTAACAGGCCGGATTTTCACCTCAACGCCTGCCGTCGCTGACCATCCCGAACTCCCCGGCCGGCTTATACAACCCATCGGCTCTCTCCGGTCTCCTTTCCTCTGGGGGTAACGCTCCCGCTGCCGGCCGCACGGTCTACATCGGCAACCTCCCGCCGTCGGCATCGGTCGACGAGCTGCTCAACCTCGTCCATTTCGGCCCACTCGAATCCATCCGCGTTTTGCCGGAGAAGTCATGCGTCTTCCTGTCCTTCCTAGATGCATCGACTGCCGCGGCCTTCTTTGCCGATGCGACGCTGCGCAAACTCACGCTTCACTCGCAGGAGCTCAAGGTCGGCTGGGGAAAGCCTAGCCCCGTCCCGGCTCAGGTCCTCCAGGCCATCGCACAAAGCGGTGCCAGCCGGAACGTGTACCTCGGTGGTTTGGATGAGAATATGACCGAAGAGCAGCTCCGAGATGATCTCAGCCGATTCGGTTTGATCGACCAAGTTAAGATCGTTCGCGACAAGAACATCGGATTTGTACACTTCTTGAGCATCAGCGTCGCTACCAAGGTACATACGTGCAGTCATTGTTACGGGGAATAGGCCGCTCACGAGCTTTTGCAGGTTGTCAATACGCTCCCGACCGACCCGTCCTGGGCCGGCAAGCGGGTCAACTATGGCAAAGATCGCTGCGCCTATGTGCCCAAGTCTCAGCAAGCGGCCGCACACCAGGCCCAAGCGGCGGCTGCGCAGTCCCTGCTGCAATCTGCCGGTGCCTTTGGCTCACCGATGGCTACCCACAACCCACCGTTCCCCGCAAGCGGATCTATGGGCCCGTTTTCGCCGCTTGTGACGAACGGGATGAACAGTCTCGCCTATGGTGGACCCGCAAGCGCCCACCCCTCCAGCAACCCAGGCGCCAACCCCTTTACCGGCGCGGCTGCTACTGCCGACCGTGGGCCAGCGAGTGCGCACCCCGGGAGCACGGGTGCTTCGAATCCGATTTTGGGATCGAACGTGAGCGGCGTTATTTGATGGACCGTGCGTGCGTGTCCCGCTAATATCAATCATGCGCAGAACTCGCCTACTGGGTCACCTGCGATCCCATCGGCGACCGCCCCCGCTAACGGCAACGGTAACCCGTTCTCGCCGTATTCGGCGACGCCTTTCAGCCAGGATGCGCTTAGCGCCATGATGGGAATGGGCATGTTCGGTGGGATGGGGATGATGAGCCCGATGAGCCCCGGAGGACTGGGTGTTCTCGGTGGTGCGTGTGCTTAGCTCTTGCCGACGCGTGTTGATGGGCTTCTGTAGGGCTTCCTGGCATGAACATGGCTGGTGGCAACCGAACGGTCTATCTTGGTAACATCCATCCGGAGACGACCACGGACGATTTGTGCAATGCCATTCGGGGCGGTGTGCTCCAGAGCGTTCGGTACATGCAAGACAAACACATTGCGGTAGGTTTCTATGGTTCTGTGCGGTGATAATGTGCTTACATAGAGATCCGCAGTTCATCACATTCATCGATCCGGCGGCGGCGTTCACTTTCTTCCAAGTGTCTTCTTACCAAGGCCTGACGCTCAACAACCGCCGTCTCAAGATTGGCTGGGGAAAGAACCCGGGACCTCTTCCTCCGACGCTTGCTCTTGCGGTCCACGCTGGTGCGACCCGAAACGTCTACATTGGAAACGTGGAGGACTTCGAGGTGTTCAATGAAGAGCGGCTGAAGACGGACTTTGGCGAGTATGGTGACATCGAGTTGGTCAACTTTTTGAAGGAGAAGTAAGTGCACACATGGCTTTCCGTGCCTTCGCCCTGCTAACTGATTCTTGCGCGCAGGAATTGTGCGTTCGTGAACTTCACGAACATTTCGAACGCAATCAAGGCTATCGAGGCGATCAAGAACCGGCCCGAGTACGCGAACCTGCGCATTGCCCATGGAAAGGACCGGTGTGCGAACCCACCCCGGTCTGGGCCGCAGGGCGGAGGTCGTCGGCAGGCCAGTGGTGCGGGTGGACCGATGACGGCGGAGCCTGCTAGCGCTGTCGAGCATGACGGGGAACTGGACTTTGATGTGGAGGCTGCCCAGGCCGAGGCCGAGGCTGCAGAGGGTGGCGTCGTGGTCAAGACTGAGCCTGAGGCGAACGCTTAGGGTGATGTCGTTGAGCTGATGATACCCATGGACTCGTCTCACCTCACCTTACTCACCTCAAAACCCGGCATGCGGCAGATGGGACAAAACGGATTCGGGCTTGCCTCTTGTGACTTTTCACGCTTTTTGTGCAAGCCTGGCGCACGCTTTCGTCTTCGGCATCCTTTCTTCCCAACTCTCCATCCTTCTCTGCTGCATGTCTGGGCCTTCTCGTTCTTCACTTTTGTACCTTCAATATCTTCTTTTTCTTTTCCTTCCTTCTCAAAGTGACCACCGCCTCACTGAATTATGCCTCTCGTAATGCCACCGTCGAGCTACTACCATCGTGTTGTCATCTCTCCATCTCGGCTCCTCAATCTCACTCTGTGCTATCAAGTATAAATTGTGCGGCTTGTATTTTGACAGTAAATATGAAATAATAAATACATCCTGCATACATCCTGGTAGAGGGTGCGCAGAGCCACTGGAAGACCAATGAGGCGACTTGACACGCGTTGATCACGTGCAAGTCTTCCGCTTTCCCTGAGATCATCTCGCTGAATGTGCAACGTTACAGTCGCGAAGCTGCGTCTAGCTATTGAAACTTTCGACAAGAAACACAAAACCAGTGATGAATCTCCGCGAATGTCTGTTCGTTGCCTTTTGTCTGCGATCTTGCCGAGGACGAATGCGGAACTGCCTACTTTGTCCTCGATCAAGGTCTTCAAGAACCATTGATTTCTGAAACAGTATATGCACAATGTTGTATTGCCGATCATTGGTCTCTCTATTCGAGTAGGGACTCCTGGGTCGGGTCCATGAGAGGCTTGCGACAGTCTCCCGAGGCCGCTTCCTCGCCTCTTGACGCGTGCCTGCTTGACAATAACCCGGGATGCGTGATTTCCCATGAATAGTCGGAACCACTCTCTGCAATCGTATCTCTGCAGATGGATTGACTCGATCCAGGAGGACGCTGAAACCGATGTCGATTTCTAACTGCGCCCATTATCATGACAAAGGGTCGACAGGTTGTCCTGGATAGGAACAGAATCGGTGAGAATCTCTCCTGGTGTGGTCCTGGTGCATGTGTGGATGTCGCCGCCAAGTAGGACGAGAGACCCAGCGATGATTTCGATGCATAATGTCAGTCCGGTGTGGACCACGAGAGGACCTCGGACTGCATTTGGTGCCGAACCTTCGCGTTTCGATACACCCGACCAGCCCAGATGCACTGCACAACGGCTGCGGGGCTCATCAGCGCCGCTTTAAGTGCTGGGTCGAGACGAGCGTTGTAGAAGGCGACGAGTAACGTCGTGTTGGCGAGTAGCGACATCCTTGACGGGTCAGCATATATGCCCGAGGAAGATCGAGGGGCCGCTCACAGGTAATACCACCATCCGTCGCGCATAATATTGCGAGAGAACGTATAGAGCGTCGGCCCCGTGCCCGACACGATGATGCGCACGCGCTCCCAGCCTCGCGGCGCGCTTGCAGTCTTCGTGTTCTCGGAAAGCCGGAAGGAGATGGCGATGAATACGGCGGTGTCGTAAGCGAGCTGGATCACCCATGTCGAGCCGACGAAGGGGGCGATCCGGGACACGACACACGCGGGATCCCCGGATGCCAGGGTGCTTGGGGCCCCGTGGATCCCAAACGCGGCGGTGATGGATGCGGCCACGACAACGAGCAACGGCGCAAAGAAGAGAAATGTGATGAGGCGGCTCAGGGCGTAGACGGCGCGTACTCGGAGGAGGAAGTTGGTCGATCGGGCCCATGTCGCGAGGGCGTAGATGATTTGCAGAATCAAAAGAGTGCGGGAACAGTCGCCAAACGAGCGAGCTGGGGGAGATGAGGAGCATGCTTGTGAGCGCCTTGGACAAGACCCACTGCTATATACGGCGAATCCCACTGCGTAGAGCAGCATCAACGATCTGACGAGTGTTACGGTCTGCACGCTGCATGCATAATGCCGCGCTAAACCCACCTTGAGATGAAGTAGGGGATCAACGAAGGGCGGAAGTTGAGTTGGAAGGCCACGATGAAGTCCTCCCTCAAGCTCCCCAGGATGTCCCACACGAATAGCTATCAGGAAACTCGGAATTGATGTTCTGTGACGACCGAATTGGGTGACATACAGCACACGATCCAGCAGACACGTATCCGACCAAGGCGACGGTCTCAGAGGTCGGAGTGGCGGACATACGAGGCGGGTTGTAGCCTCTAGTGAGAAGAAGAGTCGTTCAGTCTTGGTACCAGACGGACGTGGAGAGGGGAGGAAGGGAGATTGTTACCTTAGAAAACGAGATGGCAGCCGTTCAAATGCCAACCGTCAGATGCGACACTGATGAATGATTGTCCATCTGCTAAGCTTTCGCGCAGTGCGCGTGGGGCGCATGCTGTTGAAGCACGGCAATAACCGTGACGGATGAAGGATGGTGAAGGTGAGGTGCACAGCGCAGTCTCGTATCACGTGCACTCTACTATTCAAGTTACTCTTCCTACCATGTTCATCCATTGATACATGCCCTCTATAGCTCAGCTGTGCACACGGCATCTTGAAACCCAAATTTCACCCTATTTGCATCAAAAATCACTTTCAGATTCTCGTCGATCCTCCGGGGCGAACTACTGTAATTCCTCATCGCTCAGATCCTCTTTTCCTGCTCAGCTGTGATACAGAAAATCTTTAAGAGTTTCACTGGTCGTTTGTGACTTTCCTTACATGTAATACAATTGAATGAAGGGTATATACTTCACCGGAAAGGAAGATCTGACCAGCCTCTTATCTGCCCCAAGCACCTCACATACGAACACTGTCATGCAAATGAACCAGCTTTGCAGTCTCGCTCTCTGTGAATTTGATGCTGATGTTTTTTTTCAGCTGCCCAGGATAAGAACTGAATTCGTTGTTTCGTCAAAGTCTGAGGAAGAGGTAAGGTATGCCGCATTAGGATCCAGGGACCCTTTGTAAGCGTCACACTGTGACAAACAGCGACGGAAGATGACGACGGCCACGGAGGGAATATAGCTAAAGTACTCACATGGGGTGTTTCTGGAGGCCTTTAGCACACCTGCTATGTGAGTAGAATTTTTTATTTTGCCTCCTGGAGAGCGTGATGTGAGGTTCAAGAATTCTGCATCAAAAGTTTTCTTTTATTGTAGAAAGTGATTTCCAACTGAACTGAGCATCTTTGAATTTTGGGTCGGAAGATTTGACCATTCACGTGACGTCCCAATTAGGAAGTGGCGGTGCTGCCGGCATTGAGATCCCCTTCTATAGTCATAGTAGCCATAAAGAAATTCAATTATCCTTCGGACACCCATTTTGGATCACATTGGGTGCATACATGTCCATAATGACACCGAAAAGAAGGGCTACGTTTTTCGGACTGTGAATTTGAACGTCACGTGACCGTCACGCACTGCTTACTAAGGGTCCCTGGATCCTCATGCGGCATACCTTATGGAGGGGATAACACGTGATCGCGTAAGGACCGTCCCACGTGACCCAACCTCAATCAATCTGCTTCCAGTCTATTCGATGAACATCCAGGATGCACGCTTCGAACGAAGCAGAATGATATTTCATTCATTATTTCCTGAACTCTCGACGTACTACGCCTGAATTCAGTGTTCGATTTTCAGAGTGTACCATCGTACGTCGGTATATAAGTACGACTGCTCACAAAGGCCCAGATGAGTTGATCAGACAGACTAACGCGTGTGTTATCGATAAACGCAATCATTGGCCTGAAATCCGCGCCTGCAGCACCGCTGGAAGCCTCGCCGCCGCAAACGACTCGTCCGATCCCCCAACCACGCCAGGTTGAGCCAAAGGCGCCGGGGCGACACTGCTAGCGCTGAGCGTGCCGCTTTGGTGGTCCAGCGTGATGACATTGGATGCGGCGTTGACTTGGCGTGCGAACGTGTTGCCCGCGGCGTCGACGTAGCTTATCCTGCAGACGCGGTGAGCAATCGGTAAATGGGAACGAATGACGCACGTGTTCTCGCTGGTCCCGTTGCTCCCAAAGTTTCCGGTCGATGCGATGGTAAATGCGCCGCCTGAATTCCAGAGTCAGATAATTATATATAGCAAACGGATGCGACGAACCGGCCATTTGTCGCTCTGAGATGGTGGTGCTCAGCAGGAACGGACTGGGCGTCAGATGTCGGTTGTACGAGTGATCGAAACCCGCAAAGACTTGTTTTGATAAGCTGACGAAGCGCAGATAAGATGGTCAATAGAGAACTCACATGACGTTCCAGCTGCGTTCAACGATGTGAAATTGAGCGTGAACGGGAACGTAAAGTTGTCGAGCACCGCGGGGACCCCGTTGTGCAACGAGCGTGCGATACCAGACGACACTTGGAAGACGTTCTAGTTGCAGTGAGCTCAGCATGAGTGAACCGAGAAAGATAATCAGCATCATGGGCGCGCACCTGTACGAGGAAGTTATTCAAATACGCCTGGTCGTTGACAAAGCTCAGGTTCTGCGCCCACTCGACCTGAGTCGTCACTCCGCTCCCGCTGACGATCTCCGACACGATCTCGAGGTGCCGCGTCGCGGCCACGGAGATATCGACGTCCCCGTTACGCGTCGTCGCCTTGCTCGTCGTCGCAGCGAACGGCGACGCAGAGTAAGAGATCATGCGGCCCGTCGTCGGGGCCGACGACGCGTCCGTCACGACTTGGAGGTTGCCGGAGACGAACCAGTTCGCAAGGATCGCGTGGTTGGCTTCCGCCGAGACGACATCGATCGTGAAGTTGTGCGGTTTTCCGTCGACGAGCAGAGGCACGAACGGGGTCACGTCTGAACGCGGAAGTTGTAAAAAAAAGATTGGAAATCAGTTGAAGTGAACGCTTACCCAGGAAGTAGCTAGGAAGATCTACGGCTCCATAGGAGGTAATCGGGCGCCAACAAGTCGGCGACACGCCACCCGTGAACACTACCTGAAGGTCCAAAAACACTGGTCAGTTCTGGGACTCCGGTGGGTATATGCGTGTGATCGAACCGGATACGGGAAGGCAACACCAGCGACGCGTCCGTCGATCAGTAACCGAACTTCGCGGAAAGGACCTTGTCCTGTCAAACAATCAGATGAATGAGCAGGATCGATGGTTCATCTTGTTGACCTAGCGCTCCTGGTACCTCCGACGAGAACTGGATGACTTGAGCATGCATCCAGGACAATTTAACGATGCTTACCCTGTTGGCGACATTGGTGTACTTGTTTCGAGCCTCAGCATCATCACAGTCTGGTTCAACAATGGTTCGAAGCGCACCCAGAACTCTGCAAGTCGAACTGAGATTCAGTTTAATTTTATCGCAACTAAAATAACCTTCGTTGCCGTTGCCGGAGGGATACAGCTAATATATCACATCAGCGCAATATGAGGGAGATCACTCAGATGCGAATAAATACCTCGGCATATACTAGGACAAGTGGTTAAAATCCATCGAATTTAAACGCAACAGAGCTTGTTCACCTTCAATAGTATTCTGGGGGAGCGTCACCTCGATCTAGAAACGAACCGTCAGCTGCTGGCGGTGGACTGGATGTTGACTGACTGAGAAGGCGGGAGGCACGGAAGCTGCGTCTCCGGTCGTATTCAGCAGTGTTGACAGAGGAATGATCAAATCAGCCTGTTTCGCCGGAGGAGCAGCGGGCGAAGACGCGTAGAATGTCGCCGTCATAGTACCTGGCACAAAATTCAGAGCTGTTTTCGGATGGGACTCATGGAATGTATGCGCGCACTCGAGTAAATCCCGTTCAATCCCGTCTGGACATGGGGTGCTTGAGGATGCAGCGAAGCGGCGTTGGAGGAAATGATCACCCACCTCGATGATGTTGTCCAGCTGGCCGATAAACAGACCCGGCTTAGCGAACAGCGGGGTGTATTTCGTCACGTCCTTGACGTAAGTCCAGATAATGCCAGCCGCGGTTGGTTCCGGGGTCGATGTCCGCCAGACTAGAAGATAAGGAAATTCTTCAACTCCGAATACGTGAGTGAAGAGACGCGTCTCACTTTCGACGTTCTGGAAGGTGAATACGCCGAGTCGATCGAATTGCGTTCCTTTCGGCAGTAAGCCACGGTACAATGCAGTCAAGCTCGGAGACGCACCGTTGCTAGTGACCGTGAAGTTCAGCGAGATCGCGGCCCATGTCCCCGGCTCCCCGCAATCCGTCGGCGGTCTGCAATCCCGTCAGTCCCACACCCCAACAGGCTTATCTCAGACACCACCACCAAACGCACGTGTAGTCCGCCAGCGCGGCGACCCCGAACTGCGCGAAATCGTGTCTGACAACGGTTGTTACGACGTGAGGGCTCTCTCTCTCGGTCGAAGGCGCGCGTACGTGAAGATCTCGACCGTGCACTGCTTCGCGTGCGCAGGGACGATCGGGGGCACCGCGACCTGGAAGTCGACCAGCACGGCCGCGGCGCGCGGCAGCACGCTGATAGCCGCAACGAGCACGGAGAGGGACGATAGGAAGCGCAGCATGGGTATGGGCGGGGGGTCCTGACGTTCGAGCCGCGTGCTCGAAGCCTTGCGTTATATATACGCATCGACCCGGACGACAGAGAAGTGATGGTGGGTGGGTGGGAGTAACCTTCCGCGCCGGTCTAAGTGCACATGGGGGTTCGGATTCTCGATGATGGGTTCCATGCCGGTGGGGCGGGTTTCCGGGAACCCGGAAGTATATGCGTTTGGAAATATGTGGACATCGAGTCCATGCGAGCGTATATTTGGGTGGGAAATCGAAGGGTCGGTGATCAGAAGATGCGCTGTAAATTTACCCTTGTCAGCCGTGCGTCAACCAAGTCCGCGAGCCTTCATCGTGGATCATACGTAAAACAAGAACAGTTCGAGTTGTCTCTCCGTGAGAGCCTGATCACTGACATCGTGTCACGTGTTTAGGAGGACCGCGCATATCTTCTGGTCCGTGCACACCCCGCGTCGCATATAAACCACCTGCCAACATCTAGTTCTGCATACTTACCTTGATGGCATAAGCTCCTTCATGGACCTGGGCTTTTGGGCCGTGGGAACACTCCATAGCACGGCGACCCTGTCCATTCAGAGTGGGCCTGCGGTTTGTATGGGCTTCGGCTCATGCACCGTCTCAATATTTTCCTGTTCCGCCACGGCCACTCGGCCAGGCGGGCCCCGCTTTTTTTTTGGTTTTTGAATCGCGCTAACCCTAACCTTAAGAAACCATTTGGCTGTTAGACCATATGAACTCGCACTACACCTTCCTCTCCGTAAAATGTTGAAGATAAGTTGCTTCTGAGCGATCGGGTGACCGCAGAACTCAGATTGTCTCGTGCAATAAACTACACTGTAGCCAAGTGGCATTGATAAAGTGCTGGAATGCGAGCACAGTCCAAGAAGTTTTGAAGTACTACAAAACTGTTGTGAACCGTAGAGCACGACAGGGAATAAGGTTCGAGAATGACGCGTTCAAGTAGTCCTCTTGGGTGTGCCTCACATATAATTGAATCACAACAGCAAAATATGTTCAGTGATGAATAGCGTTCTCTGTGCTCTTCACAGTCGTTGTCGATGCGAATCCCGACCGGCGACCAGTGATAAGCACACTGCCAGCGAAGAAAGGGTAACAGCGGAAAGTCGGTCACGCCAAAATTTACTATCCACTCATCCGTGTATCAGGATACAAGATATATTTCGAGATAGATGCACTTAGTGCTCGAATATCGTGTGCGATGCATCAAAAGGGAGGCGGTTGGCCAGGTTCTGATTTCTTGAGCTGGACAGTCTTTTTGTCAGCTCGACCTTTTTGAGGAGTCACGAGGCACCGCAGAGGTTAAATCTTCCGGATTTCTGATTCGCGTTCTGATTTAACCCATGGATAAGCTGTTCAGCGCTGTGCGGGACGAGTGGTCAAGGTCAAGGATGGACAGCTGAGTAGCACAGGATTTATGATCCAATCACATGGCTGTTACTTACGAAGCTGTGATGTGAACGCGGAATTGCTCTCAACTTTCTAGTCTCTGGTGTAGTGTGCTTTCCGCAGTCTCATTCTCTGTCGTATAAACACTTGGAAACGAGATGAAAATATCATGATGCCAGTCCGCACAAGAGCAGACGTGTCAAGGCCACGTCAGATCCCGTGATTCTTTCCTTTATAAACGAGTCTAGCGCTTCCCATGACACGCATCCAGTTCCAAATGTACTTCTCACTCACCCGCACTGTCTTTTTCGTCGCTGCCATTGTCGCTGGCGTCAACGCCCTCCCACTCCCGACTGCCCGCCCGCGTGCTCCGGTCAAACCTGGGGAAGTAAGGTGCTTAGCCCTGGGCATCTGCTAGATATATGATCGTATAAGCATTCTTGAGTTTACTTGGGGATACTCTGAACCTTATCTGGGCTTCCCAAAGCAGGAACGACATCGGTCGTCGGTGGAGGCGGGTTCGATTGCGTCAGAGTTTACTGTACTCAATAGTGGTTTCATCATCGTCCCGGTGGAGATGAAGCTTGTCTTGACCCCGTCCTTTCTGAGCCATTTGATGATCGCATCCCGACGCTTGGAAACGAGACAACACAACAATATAATGATACTAGTCCTCAGAGTGTATACAGGTCATGTGAGAAGCCGCGATTTGTACCTGGCGCAGCACTTTATAAAGGAGTTGTAGCGCCTCCCGTGGCACGCATCCCACTCCAGATGAACTTCTCACTCACCCGTACCATCGTTTTCCTCGCTTCTATCGCTGTGGGCGTCAACGCCGTTGCACTCCCGACCGCTGGCCCGCATGCTCCGGTTGAGCCTCGCCGGGGAATCTGCTCATGCTCTGGAGATATCTGTCTTTGCTAAAAATTTGCACATGTGAGCACTTTCGGCTTTACTTGGGGATAATTTGAACCTTATGTGGGTGTTGGAGTGCAGGAGCGGCGTCGGTCATCGGTGGAGATGTGTTTGATCGCGCGAGAGTTTATCGGACTCGAGATTTGGTTCACCATGGCGCCAGTGGAGATGAAGCTAGTCTTGATACGGTGTTTTCTGAGTCATTTTATTCTCGCGCGACTGCTACATCGTCAGTCGGCTCGAGTGAGGTCAAGAGCGCACTTCCAAGTTCACTCGTGAGAATGATCGTTTGATCTAAATGATGACATCATTGTTTCCAACAGCAGGGGAGTTCCGCGTCCTTCCTTGTCCTCTTGAAAGGACTAATAAACTCAAGCTTATCCGCCAACTATGCTCGCGCTGACGCGTCCCTAGCATACGAATCACCGGAGCTTTCTTCTGTCCGAGTCCTTGGAGGATAGACGGGAACTTGCGAAGGCTCAGGTCTTCACCATGCGGAGGGTGTGCAAAAGTGCGAGAGGATCGGACAGGCACGGGCGTCAATGTCCTCCCGAAATGGCCCGCGTGTATCATCCCCGGGTCGTCCGAGCGTCGCGGACGACCTCTAAAACGGACGATGACACGAACGTCCGTGCTTGGTAAGGCGCAAACGTAATGAGAGTGTGTGCGTACGTTGGTTAGGTACGCGCATAGGACATCGCCGGGGCAGTTATGCTTCTCCGGCTGACGATGGCCCGGGTGCCGGTACCCGCCACTGTGGCGCTGCAGCTTGGTGGGGCGCAAGGCTGGACTCGGAGGGTGATCCCCCGAGGTCGGGGAGAAGAGGATTGGACGGCTCCGAGTCACGCCGCGGTCGGGTTGATCGGGTGGACAGCTGTCATTAGCACAGCCTCGGCGGAAGCTTTTTGATCATGCGATCGGCATCAGACGTGGTACCTTCTTACAGAGAGACACATCGAATGCTTAAGCAGAGACAATAGGTCTAATGAACAGATCTCTTGGGATTGGCGCCGAGCGCGGTTATTCTTGCTTGCTCTCTCACACACTTAATCAACCAGCGGAATCAGAGAAACGTCAACCCTCATTTCGGACTTGAGCGGATGCTTCTTTGATGCTGGAGGGTTCTTGAGGATCCCTTGATCCCCAAAAGTTTAACGGACACGAGGCAAGGCAATTTTCAAGTGCCGTGACATTGCCTAGTCACTTCGGGTCACTGAGAGTAGTATTCGTTCGATCGAGCGTATGAGTCAAGAGAAGGGTAGATTGCATCGGATGTAGGCATCCCTCTGGGAACGGAACTCGATCAAAGCCAAGCAGCGCGGTGGCCTCCCGAGAGAGGACAATAATCTGACTTTCTAGGTACAAGACTTTTCATGATCTGTCGCGTCGAGGGATCCGTTCTGCTCGGATTGTCGATCATCTGGTTGTGTTACATTTTTATCGATAAGTGATAATCATAGATCGGGTGCATCCGTCCCTGGATTAAGAGTCATCCACATCGCGGCATTCGGATTATACCTTCCGTGTCCGTTTTTTTCTCTCGTGCGAACTGTGAGGATGCACATGGGCCCTATTCACGTTATGTACGTTACTTACATCCGCTGGCCCCGGCTCGTCGTAAAGAAACTTCGACTACGAGGTCACGGCACGAGCGGGAGCATCAAGACCGGATCGCACCGCCACTGATGATTGACACGGGATTTGCGGCTCTCGCGCGCAGAGCACAAGACGCCGCTGACCGCTGTGATCGCCGACAGGCATCGACACTCTCCGCTGTGCCTGGAAGTCTTAATCAACTGCACGAGTGCTGACAGGATCGTCAGGAGTGCATCCAGCTGTCGCAGGGAGGGCCCTTTATTGAGGTACTGTATCCAGCGATGCCGTCCGTCTTCTACGCTCCCTGCGGCCCGACACCAGCTTTGATTGCATCCGACACAGGGCTCAACCATAGACGCGGTTGCTCCGAGCTTGGGACCTTCCATCCCAAAAAGGAAGTCCGAAGAATAGCAGCGGGGAAAGGGCATCGTTCGGGGTGCTGAGGTTGCGCTCGATCGTCGGCGGACGGATGAACGTTGACGCGCATTCAGAGCGACTCACGCCAAAGCGGACACATCCGGGTTTGCCTGCTCTAGACTTTCTTCGGCAGTGCGCGTGAGTTGAAGCGAGAAAGATCTGCGCACCCGGAAGAGCACTCGCACTCCGCGTCCACATGTAGCCAATGCACGGAAATGAGAATCGGAGGGAAGTGGTGAGTCACCATGGGGACGTTGGTGTCGCTGAGAACTGGTTGAGGTGGACGTTTGTGGACAGAGGTGATCGCACTCTGTGCATTCTATGCGCCTATCTCGACGGTTCATCTCACGGAATGACTCACAAAAGGGTGTGTTGACCGGATTCAAGATCCCTCAGGAGATGCGTCCCAGCATGCGTGGCATCGCTATAGCTTTCCAAGCGCAGCACAATGCGTATTTAGCAGCACACGTTTCATTCTGGAGCTCTAGTGCATCTTCCGCAGCAGTAGAAGAGGCAGTGTTGGGAGCATCACAGCAGGCTTGGGGGACTTCTATTGAGAGAAGCGAAAATCCTCGACCAGTGGAGCCAGTGTCTGACGAGTGATGTAAGACCAGGTGCGGCCCTCCAAAAGACGAAAGACAAAGGCTATGAAAGGTGGGGGCAGCACGAAGCGTCCGACAGTCTGTCCCGCGTGCTAGCGTCGCTGAAGTGGCGGCGCCGACCGCAGGCATCGAGGACAGATGAGTCAAGACCCGGCTGACCGGTTTCAAGATGACCGGATCGGGCCCACGTGACGAGACACAGCCTGGCCGTCAAACGGTCATTGCACAATTTTCACCATCTCCTCAGATCTCATCTCACGGATTTTTGCATGACTGTATTCCACCGACTTCAAAGCTCCGTGCCTTATATAAGGGCACGGTGTCCTTCCCTTGGCTCCTCCTCAAAACGCCCACCATTCCACCTCTTCGCTCCACTACGCACCCCATGATCACAGACTCAAATCTGTTACACGCCAATTCGCGCTCCGTTGTCGCTCGGCCATTGAAGAGAGGGAGAGCATGTATGAACTGCAGGTGTGTGTCAAAGAGTCCTCCTCTCTCTGCAACTTGCGCTGACTGGGTCTTTGCATCCAAGGTTCCTCAAGATTGTGCGCTACATTCCCATTCGATCCGACTCTATGCAGTAGTTCTCATCACCTTCCTCAGAAATGCGATGGCGTGAAACCAATATGTGGACCTTGTCGCAAACATCCCAAGGATGACGAATGCGAATACACCGACGGCCCCGTCCGGTCCCGGACGAAGGCTCTAGAAGATACGGTCCAGCGGCTCGAGGCGCGATTACATGAGCTCGAGCATCCAGACGAATCGACGCCCTCCGTGACGCTCTTCGACCCATACGCGTGCCAGGCACCCCCCGCACCGCTCCAGCTCCCGTCTCGCCCCCATCCGGCTTCGTCCCGGTCGCTCCCGAATTCCCCGTACGACCAGGTCCCGCGATTACTGTCGCCGTCAGGATCGTCCCCGGAGTCGCAGGGGTACACTCAGCTGTCGGCGTGGTCACCCCCGTCGACGCACGGCTCGAGCCCGCTTATCTTTGATGGCAGGAGTATCGCGACTCCAGAGTCCAGTACTTCAAGCCTTGATTTCCAAGACGTGCGTCCTGCCGAGCACTCTATCCTTATTCTGACTGACTGACTTACGTGGTGCACAGCAGCCGATGCATGACTCGTTGTATGCTCCGTCCCTGCTGCGTCACCCTGAATCGACACTGACGTGCTCTCCCAGCTTACATACGTTTCTGAAGCACGGGTCCCAATTCGGCTTCTTCCTCGACCAGACGCGATTCCGGCAAGCGGTCGTTCGTCAGCCCGCGTCGCCCGATGGGAGCGTGGCCGTCGGACCCGGCCTGGCCCCCGCCCTGCTACAGACAGTGTACATGTGGGGCGCCCACCTCTCGGGCCAGCGCGACGAGCGGTTCAGATACAAGGCGCTGCAGGCCGTGGCGACGGACATCCTGTCAAATCCGCTCCTGCAGGTGCTGCAGGCCGAGGTGCTGCTCGGGTACTACTTCTTCCGCACGGGCCACTTCCTCGAAGCGCGCGCCCACAGCGCGACGGCAGCGGCCCTGGCAATCGGCGCGGGCCTGCACGAGATCCGCTCGGTGCAGCAGCCGGCGCTGCCGATGCTGACGATCAACGAGCAGTTCGTCGAGAGCGGCGTCCTGCTGCCCCCGCCGGCGGATGTGGTCGAGGAGGGCGAGCGCATCAACGGGTTCTGGGCGGTGTTCATGCTGCAGAAGTACCTCGCCGTGGCGCTCGACCCGCCGTCACGCGTCTGCAGTGTGTTTAAGGTCGCCGGGGGCGCCATTGTTGATACGCCGTGGCCCCGGGGGATGGACGAGTATAGACAGGTGCGTACATCGCAACTGCCGCAGGGCCAAATTTGGGACAGCGGTCCGCTGACATTGATCCGCAGGGATTGCTGACTTCCGATGTTCGAGGAGACGGCACGATCCGAAATTTTCTCGGCCAGTTTGACGCCTTCGATTCTCCCTCGCTGCCGGCGCTCCAAGCCAAGGCTTGTGTGTTGCTGCATCGGGCAGTGCACCTGCACGGCCAATGGACGCTGGGTGAGTACATCCATCTACCGATCTCCGGCTGGCCGCATTCTGAATCTGTGCGCAGCTAGCATGCCCGGCCACAATCAAGCGCTATCGAATGCCGTCCAGGCCGTCGACAGCCTCATCAACTCGCTGCGCTCGCAGCTCCCGGAGTCAGCCATGCTGTCCCCCACCACAGCCGGCACAGAGACGACGCGCACGCTGCTGTTGACGCGATCTCTTCTGAACGCGGCGTCGATCAAACTGCACAGCCTCTTCATGAACGATCCAAGCTCGCGCGAATACTGTCTTGCTTCTGCCCGGGATATGTTTGACTTTGGGTTCGCATCGAGCGAGCACGACCTGAGACGAGGTCTGGGCTACCTGAACCCCATCATGGGGGTGCGTGTGCTTTCTTTCTGTCTTGCTGATATGCGACCGCTGACATCCGTCGTGCAGAGTCTCTGGATGACCGCCTGTTCTGTGTTCGTCGAGGAAATCAAGCGCCTCCGCTCGTCGTTCGACTCCGCATCACGTGCAAAGGAAGAGGAGGTGTACTGCAGTCTCCAGGACGGCATGCACGCCTTGAAGACCTTTGCAGCTGAGAGCCTGCTTATGCGTGAGTGGTCATCCATGTGAGGTAAGCATGCAAGGTCTCATTTCGGTTCTAGGGCACCAGCTCACCAAGGCTCAAGAGGGCTTTGAATCGCTGTGAGCGAGGGACAACCTGGGCCACGAATGATATACCCTTTTTCGGATGGATTTGCCATATATCCGTACATGGTCAAGAACACGCTGGCCCAGTATCAGGCGCTGTTGTATCGCTACCCCAAGGTGTAATAACATTAAGCATCGCACGAACTGTTGTAATATATTGTAGCCAACTGTACTTTACTGTACGTTTACACTCCTTCGGCACCACACACCCGGATTTCTCTCTCTCATGGGACCACTAGACTCTACTGTACCTACCTTTTGTTAATCACTACTGCGCACTAAAAGTACATACTTATTACATTACACCTTTAGTAGCCGATCAATCATATGAACCACCATCTTCGTGTAATCGAGGCATATTTGATTCCCCGTCCGTGTCCTGACCAGATCATCTGATATTGCTGCGGAAACAATCCAGTTCAAGGCGGTCCGAGCGAGCGTTTCACGCACGTAATCTGTCTGTCGTGATGTCTCCCGCCACAGCTTTGAGAGACGAATACACTGTCCACGTCTGCAAAAACGGAACCCGCGTGTAGATCGAAGCCGGGTTTTCCGTTTTACCGACCGCAGCGATCCGCTGCGTTGCTGTGTTGAAGTTGAGGAGACGTGCGTTTCAGCGGGGACGGAAGACCGGGTCGCGGGGGAGAGGAGGTGCTGGGCCGTGAATCTCATCGCCCAGGAATCTTGCTTTGAGCCTGAGATGCCTGAGCGATGCTGTTAATTTTGGTTGGTGTGATTCTGGGCTGACGCCGAGATCGTGTGCAGTGTCAGAATTCTTGGGTCGTGGGTTCGCTTTTGGCGTGAGTTTATGATGCCCTCCTAATGAGTTGATGAAATTCCGATGTCAGATTTGTGACTAGAAAGCGCGGATTGCGTTAGCAAATTGCCTTGCTTGAATCTGGTGCTCTTCTTGCCATTCAGGTCTACGAGAACAGTGCTCTCGGTACTCTAATTATCCCTAGTGCGCAGGCTTCTGGGCAATATTCACGGGCCCCTGATCACTTATGCAGACCCTCAGTACGGGATTGTTAGATATCTGATAATCACGGGAATCTGATAAGTGCCCCAGCTGATCAATGACATCATATATGCTTACATTCCACATTGACAAACAGCTTCAAGATCTAGAGAATAGAAGGGGCAGAATGGAACGATTTTTACTCCTTGCCAAAGCCTGTGAAGCTCCAAAGGGAATCGAGTGTCCGCCCAGTGTAGAATGCGAACATCAGGCACTTCAGCCGGGGAATATCGGATCTCGGAGAAGACCGGGTTTCCCAGATCCACGCTAAAGATATCTAAACAAGCAAAGGGGATGATCAATAGACGACTGCTAACGTCCGGGGATTGCCGCCTGCTCAAAAAAATTTGCAGACTGATCTGAACGAGATCAATACTCACCAGGTGTTGTAGTTTCGGCGAGATTCTCCCGGGCCGGACCTTGTAGAAAGTATCAGTTTTCTGACCGCAAACTGCTCGGTGCCGGTCCGGAACTTGGCAGATGTGTACCTGCAGCATCTTCGTGTCTGGTTCGGAGAAACTCGCACAGCGCGCTATACGCGATGTGACTTGGTTGACTAGGTGTGTCAACCGAGCGACGCGGAAAAGTCGCATGGATGCTCAAGGTTAATGCGTTGCAGAATGAAATTCGCTGACTGACTGAATTAGATCTTGCTCTGCTCTTCCCTTCCAGAAGCTGATTTCCCAACGAGCTAACCTGGAGACACTCACAGGCCCCGACCAGGGAGCGAGGACGAATCACATCGCAGCTGACCCAGATATCAACCCCATGACCGAAAAAGGACCCCTGTGATCTGATCTGCGAAGACAGTGTGACCGCGGCTCGCTGCCTGCACTCCCATGTGTGAACTGATCGTGACCGCCGCCCTGCATGCGCTCTGGCTTAAATACCGACGCCCGGATAAAATGCGGGGTGATCACCCACTCACGCCATGGCCGTCTCGCCGATCTACCGCCAGCTCCTCGCGCTGCTGCTGCTCCCCACGCTCGGGGCACTCGCTGCCCCGAATGTGGTCAACACGGGCTACGCGTCGTACCGGGGAAACCTGTCGTTCCCGAATACCGTCGCGTACCTGGGCATCCCGTACGCTGAGCCTCCCCTGGGCAACCTCAGGTTCCGCGCGCCTCTGCCGCTGGATACAGGCAGAGTGAAGAAGGCGGCGGGAGGGAAGGTCGTTGACGCGACTCAGTATCCCGAGTTTTGCGTTCAGGGCTCGACTGGAAGTGCGTGCGGCCCTCTGGATCCTTGATGAATGTACTAACCATCCGCTAGATGGAGATGCGGGTGGTGCAGGCAGTGAAGACTGCTTGAAGGTGAACGTCTACACTCCAGCGAACGTGCAGGCCGGCGACGATTGTGAGTAACGACAGCGTTTCTTGTTCTCTCATCTAAGTCTTGTGCAGTGCCTGTCCTTGTCTATATCCATGGTGGAGGTGCGTCGCCCCTCTTTTCATCCCCGGGACCCACGTTCAACCTTCCTTGAACATTAGGCTACATATACGGCAACCCCCGCAACTGGCCGTTCGATCCATGGGTCCACCAAAGCCCGGATGTCGTGATCGTTTCCGTGTACTACCGCCTCAGCGCATTCGGTTTCCTCTCGACCCCCGAATTCTCCAACTCTGCAAACGGCGACTTCAACGTAGGGTTCCAGGATCAGATCGAGGCGCTCAAGTGGGTGCAGAGCAACATCCACGCCTTTGGGGGAGACAAGAACAAGGTCACCATCAACGGCGAGTCTGCCGGCGGTGCCTCGGTCGAGCTGCACAGTATTGCGAACGTGCACCCGAACTTCCGAGGAATTATTGCGCAAAGCGTTTATCGGACGCCACTGGCGCATCCGGCTCAACGAGCGGTGGGTTGCATTTCAGTCGTCTTAGCTGGTTTTGACGCTGAATTCGGGCAGGCTCAATTCCAGCTGTTTGCGACTCAAGCAGGATGTGGCACTGGTTCCGTCAAATCTCAACTTGCATGCTTGAGGAGCGCAAGTGTCAGTGCTTTGGCGAGAGCGCAGGATTTCGTTTCCTACAATCCCAATACGTTGGTGCTTCTCTTCGGGACTAGACTGCATCTGATGGGATGAATCAAACTCTAGCACTGGCTATAAGCTCTTCCAACCGGTCGTTGACGGAAAGATATTCCTCGATTACCCAACAAAACTGATCACCGAGGGGAAGATTGCTAATGTACCGATCATTGTCGGGTAAGCAATCGCTTCTGCGACTCGCTAATCAGGCGGCTCACCAGTCTCATCAGCTCGACCTCCAATGAGACGCTGTCGGGAGGAACTATCACTTCCGCTCTGCTTGCTTTCTTCCCGTCGTACACAAACAAGACTGTCCAAGGGATTGTGAACGTTGGTCGACCTCCTTCCGTCCCAGCTCTCTTCACCTGATTCCTTCTAAAGCAATACCCTCTGAGCGACTTCGCGTCGGCCGCTCTCCAATTCCAGGCTGGGACGGGCGAGCCGGAGTTGCTGTGTGCTGTGAGATCCCTATCTGTGCTTCCAGTTCGTTGCATCACTCATCCCCTCCTCAGCGGCACATCATTGGAACAGCAGCGTCGAAGAAAAACAAAGCTTGGACCTATCGATACAACCAAGCCAATCCCACTGGAAACCCGGGTCTCACCCGGGTCGACCATGCAGCAGAAAACTGGATGATGTTCCAGGGAAGCAACACAGGGTGTGTAAATCTGACGTTCATGTGCTAATTGCATCAGTTCTGACCCCAAATTCCAGCACGAATGGCACGGGGACCTTCTCTGCCCAGACCCCCGTCGAGTTGGCTTTCACTCGCGAACTGATCGCATACTGGCTGTCCTTTGTTCGCTCGGGCAACCCAAACACGCACAAGCTGCACACCTCGCCGAATTGGCCGCAGTTCAGTTCGGCGCAGAAAAATCGCATCGTGTTGCAACAAAACAGGGCGAACGACACGACGAAGACGGGGAGTTTCTTGGAAGTGCAATCGGATGAGGAGACGGAGAGGTGTCAGTTCGTCGTCGGCCAAGTCGCAGTACAACAGGCCTGAGGAGTTTTTGGACGCATGAACATTGTACAAATAGGAGCAAAAGTTTCGAAACAAATCGATTCCCACGATCGTGAAATGCGATCCCCACATGACGCGTGAGAAGATCCCGCAGTTTGCCGCAGTGCATCGGACACCGCCCACACTTTTTCGACATCGCATGCTGTGACAGTCCTTGTCTTTCACGACCTCCCTTCATTCATAAGTGCCTCCGCTGCGGATTTCTCGGTGATCCTCTTTCGAGTTCTCCCCACGCTCCCTGCAAACGACCATGACGGACAAGTTGGCTGCTTACAAAGTGCGTAGCGCAGCCGTGCCTGAAACACATGGCTCCGAGAGCCGCTGACCCGGCACCACGGCGCAGGCGCGTCAAGCCGGGAACGCTAGTACCCCGACAACGCCGTCCCATGAAATGACGACCCTGCACACGAACGGCACCGCCAACGGCGCCGCGGGGAGCTTGGAGTCGCGGCCTGCGTTCCTGGAAGAGGTGCGCGGCCTTCGTGCAAAGAATCGGGGACGCCGCGTCGCTTACTCATCCCCCCTCATGCAAGACGTCTTCCGTGCAGGACGCCATCTCGACGTTCTCCGACCGCGTGGCGCGCATCGCGGCGCTCAACGCGCGGACACTAGACACGATTGGATCCGAGGACTCGCATGTGCAAGAGCGCGACACGTTGGTCGCGGACACGCTCGCGCTGAGCACCCAGCTCAAGGATCGCATCAAGCGACTCCAGGGCGCTGTCGCCGGTGGCGGGCGGGGCCAGCAGGACGTGCAGATCCGGCAGAATCGGGTGCGTGCAGCGTGGGCCAGGCAGGCACCGGTATGGCTGGACTGACGGGCGGGTTGCGATGCAGGTCACGTTCCTGCGGAACAAGTTCATGGAGGCACTGCAGAACTACCGCCAGGTGGAGCAGGAGCACCAGGCCAAGTCGAAGCAGCGAATAGAGCGCCAGTACCGTATCGGTTAGCGCGCCGCCCCTGAGGCTAGCTGTCCATTTCGCTCATCACGTCGCAGTCAAGCCCCAGGCAACCCAGGAGGAGATCACCGCGGTCATTGCGGAAGGCGGAGACCAGGTGTTCACCCAGGCTGTGCGTCGATGTCACTCGATGGTTGCTCGGGATTCTAGCTGATGATATTGTATAGCTGACATCGAGTCACGACTATGCACATGCCCGATCTGCGTTCAACGAGGTTCAGTCTCGGGCGCGGGAGTTGCGGCGCATGGAGGACACGCTAGCCGAATTGGCGCAGCTTTTCAGTGATGTGCATTCTGGGTCAACTTGTCCTGTTTTTGCTGTTCTGACTGAGCGCCTTTGTCCCAGATGGCTGTTCTTGTCGAGCAACAGGACGAGACCATCGTGGCCATCGAGAATAATGCTGTGGCTGTCGAGAGCGATGCAGAACAAGCGTCAGTCGGCCGTCCTCCGTCGATACTCGCGTCTTCTGACCAGCATACAGGAACGGTCAATTGGACGGGGCGATCAAATCTGGTGCGTCATATGCACACATACGTCGTTCATTTGAGCTTGCATGCTAAGACCGCCGGCAGCTCGCAACGCGCGGCGAATGCGATGGATCTGTTTCATCATCATCCTTGTCATACTCATTGTCATCGCTATCGTGCTGGCCGTGCACTTTGCTCCCACCAAGAAGTGAAGACGATTTATGGACTGGACGCTATCGGCCCCGCAATCTCACTTGGAGCACCTCCTTACTATCTATCTGTTACTTAATTATTCGTAGTGTAACGATTTCAGGTTACTACACTAGGCTTGCTCATGAATTCAATGACTTGGTGTTGCACTCGAATGCACTCTTCTAGATTCAGGGATCTAGTCTAGTCGCTACGAGCCTTGGGTGCTGAGCGCCGAGCACTGAACTTAGCCTACATAGTGAGTGACCTGGACTTCACGCTGAATGACTGTCTCCTTGACCGGAACTCGGAAGTCAGATGGCTGGGCATGGCGACCGGATGGAACTAGACGCGGACTGGACGCCTCGGATCTGGATTCTGGACCCTGGCCAATTCAGGGGTAGATGCTGGCGGCTGGAACGGCACTTCTCCGCGATCTTTGGCAGTCACCGGCGTCTCTGGCTTGGTTTTCTGCTTGCGGCGTTTCTTGGGAACCAAATCCAGCTCCAGGAAAGCCTGGCTGCTGTTCCAGAGAAACCCCTCACCCGCCGTGTTGTATCGAAACGCTATGGAACATGAATCCCTCAGACCCACGTCGTGCCGGGGATTTTTGCGCGAAAAGGTTTTGGCTCGGCTTGAGCTGCTGGATCTCCACACAAGAAACCCACCCACACAAGATTGGAAGCAATCTCGAGTACATTCCGGAGTGCGGCGCGATGTTCGTCGTGCTGGCAAAGCTACGAGTCGAGATCAGAGACAGAGCAGAAAGAGATGGCCGAGGCAACACACATGGAGGACAATCTCACCAAGGGCCGGGATGCACGACTTGAGCGGTACGCGCTGCATCCTTCCACCGCCGTCCAGTCCAAGCACAGCCGGCGACGTCTCTGGGACAGTCTGCACCCATCCGGTGATCAGCGCATACATCGTCATGCCGAGCGAACAGAGTTCCGCGACGCAGCCGAATTACAGATAAGACGAGCCGGTGTTGGGCTGGTAGCACCGGGTCTCGGTGGCCTTGGACCCTGAGTTTGTGTATGGGTTGTCGAGCAGTTCCGTCGCAAAGAGGAGCCCCCGTTTTTCGTTGAACGCAACGTTGGAGGTCGACATGAGAGTGCTCCAGCCCAGGTCGGAGATCACGCAGTGGCCGTCGAAGGCTGAACAAGCTCAAGTCCGACTGCGCGGGATCCAAGCTGTGACAGTGTGCGTATGAGCATGGTGGAGCTGGTGGGCACCTGCTACAGCACGTCCCTTCGTTGGATGTATGTTCTGGACGAAACGCTGAGTTGAGGACGCTGGTTGCAACTGGATTGAGGGGGTGACAGTGTGCGGGTGGCGAGGTTGTTATCCGAGTCGATAAATGGTAAACCTCCGGGGACCGGTAGGGAATTTTAGTATCTAAACTCCACCCTCTGCTTTTGCATCTTCGAGGCGGACTTTGAACCAGCAAGCGGTCACTGCCGCCTCGATACTGCACATGATCAAAGTGTTGTGTCCTGCAAACCAGTGAAGTCTTCAGAGAATTGAGAGTCATAGTCGGGTGTTTCTTCTGGGTTGGGTGACGTACAGCAATGATCCAGGACGATGTTCGGCACCAAGTAACGACACAGCCGGTCAACGTGATCTGGTCTATGCGCATATGGTCCGTGCACACCCGGCCGTACATCGTATATAAACCGACGCCCAACCATAGATGCTGCATACTTACCTTGATGGCATAAGCTCCTTCACTTGATCAACACCACAGTAGAAGCTGAATCCTAATTTTCTCAGCTGTGATCGAATCCATTGGGATTAAATCGCGACCTGAACTGCCAGTCAGCGCTGAAGGAAGCACTGAACGGTTGAGGGACAAGTAGGACCGCAGTGAGATTTCGAGTCCAGTACCGGCGGTCCACACATCTAAATTTCTGACCAGGCTGGCCGTCACCAAATCCTGGCCGTAACTCAAAATCAAACCGATCTTAACACGATGATGTGCGACATTTGTTCGATAGCAAGAATACATTGTGTTTTGTACGGGTTTTGGTGTAGAATATCTACTCCTTGCCATGGCGGATGGCCTGGGGGATAGGCAGGCGATCGAAATGAGCGACGGATGCGATGAGGTTGCTGTGCTTCAGCCCATCGCCCTGGAAGCTTGTCAATATCTACAAGCTCCGGACGTAAACCTTGTGAACGTACAATCATGGTGCTGGGGAATCCAGGGTCGAATGGCAGAATGCTCTCCAGATAGGCGATCTGCTCCGGGGACAGGACCACGTCGAGAGCCTCGACGTTGGCCAACAGATGCTCGACTTTACGACCACCGATGATGGGGAACACGTAGGGAACTTTCTGCATCAGGTAGGCGATGGCGACTGGAGCAAGGATGAGACCAGCTGAACAGGACGTGAAACGGAGCGTACCCGAAGTGATGTGTTTGGCGCCAACTTCCTTGGCGACCTTCTCCAAAGCGGCAGACATCTTCTTTTCGTCTGCGTTCCGCTCCCAGTCCGGTCCGAACATCATGCGGCCCTTCTCTCCGGAGGTGCGACGAGCCTCTTCTTCAGCATCCGTGCGCAATTTTCCGGCAGCCAGCACGTTCCAGGGAGCAAGAGCCATTCCTTGAGAGGAAGTAAGCACATGGTGTCCGGGGAATAACAGCTGATGAGCGTACCGTATGCACGAGCCATGGGAATGATCTCGCGCTCAAACGAGCGGGCCATCACGTTCCACGCGCCCTGGTAGATGACGAACGGCGACTTTCCGTGATCGCGAGCGTACTGGTTGGCCTGCGCGACGATCCAGGCGGGAGTGTCCGAAACGCCGAGGTACAGAACCTTGCCCTGCACCACGAGATTGTGCAGTCCGTCCATGACCTCCTCGACGCTGGTGTCCCAATCCCACCAGTGCAGGTACAGGATGTCGATGTAGTGCGTGCGCAGCTTCTTGAGACTGGCGTCGACGCTGATGTTCATGGACTTGATGTTGTTGCCGACATAGTTGACCTTTTGCGCGTACTTGTCCTGGCGTGCTTTGAATCCGCTCGTGTACTGGGTCCAGTTGAATTCATCGTCGAAAAGCCTCGAATTGGCAGTGCCTCACCTTGGTAGCGATGACCAGCTGGTCCCGGATGTCGCGCTTCTCAGCCCATTCGCCGATGAACATCTCGGAAGTCTCATCCTGACTGCAAGACGCGTCAGCAGGTGTGCAATCTATGGGCGACAAGCAGATCGACGGACTAGTTGTTCGCGGTGTCAATGAAGTTTCCGCCGGCGTCGAAATACGCGTCGAGGAGCTTGAAACTGGAATCCTTGTCCATGGAGCCCATGCCCAGCTTATCCCACTGGTCGCCAACGCTCATCGCGCCGAGCTGCAGGGGCGAGACATGCACGCCAGCTTTCGCAGAGAGAGTGCGGTAGACACCGAGCTTGGTGGCAGGCTGAGGAGGAGACGTCCAGAAAGACATTGGCAGTAATGCAGAGTGGGATGCGAGTATGAAAAGCAAACGCAGGAGACGCCCCCCTCTTATATCGCGGGCCCTACCTCTCAGTCCGGAGTCTCGGAAGTGACGTCAAACGATCATCGATACACAGATGGAACAGAGATTATCCTCGGCAACTGGCTTGCGCGTACAAGGACTCCGAGAGCCTTATTAATCCAGCTTCTTGTGAATTCAGCTGAGTCACCCAAGGGCCAGGGAGCCCTCGAAGAGTGGTCGAAGGCGCTGCCGGAACCGGCTACAAGGCGCCTTCCGAAAGACGGCTGAGAACAAAGCCCATGGGATCGTGGCAAGCTGCTTGGGGGTTCGTCCACGTGCAAACACAGCACGTCTTCCTGAGCACCTGAGCTCCGGCGGCACTGATGAGGGTCGTGCATGGGACCGCAGAGTGTAGAACACGTGATATTCACGTGCAAAACTTCTGGTCCGTGCGCTTCGAATCGTATAAAATCCAACGCACAATATCTGGTTCTGCATACTTACCTTGATGGCATAAGCTCCTTCACGGACCTGGGCTTTTGGGCCGTGGGAACACTCCATAGCACGGCGACCCTGTCCATTCAGAGTGAGCCTGCGGTTTGTATGGGCTTCGGCTCATGCCCCGTCTCAATATTTTCCTGTTCCGCCACAGCCACTCGGCTAGGCGGGCCTTTTTTTTGGACTTTGAATTGCGCTAACCCTAACCATATCATTCCATCAATATATTCAGCTATGATCGACCCGTACCTACAGCGTGAGATGAGAATATCAAGTGAGCAATGGATGTTGAGCTCTTATATTTGTGAAGCAACTGAGATCAATTATTCATCGTACTTGACACTCTCCGACCATATAGAATTACTCCAAGACTCAAAACAAGACTCCCAAGAGCCGGTGACGCCATCCCAAGTTCGAGCCAGGGGGAGAGAAATCGCCATCCCCATCGCTGCGTATAGCTCCAGCACTTTCAATGTGTCTGGGTGCAGCGACTGTGCATATCCAGTCAACTTCACCGTTCGTAGGGTGCCAATCCTGGGTATCAGAAAGCGGAGCAAAGCCAGGTCTGACATGGCCACTTCGCTCTGGAATGAGAAATGCCGAAGCGCGGGAACGAAGGGGCGAAGAACATCCAAGTCGGCATCTAGGTAACGCTCATCGTCATCGTCAAACCCACGCTCATCGCCATACAGGCTCGTAAGAGACAGCTCCGTCAAGGACGGCAAGAGGGGAAGGATGTCGACGAGATACAGCCAGTCGCACGTGACGGTGAGCGAGCGGAGCGTGGATGCGTGTTGGCTGAGGAACGTGAATAACGAGGGCATGTACCATGGCATGCGCTCGAGCACGATTCGCTCTAAAGCAGGCATGCGCAAGCACGGAAGGATGGCAGATTCCTTGTCTTCAGAGCCCCTCACGCACATATGGAAAGTTCGCACTCGGGGGAAAGTCACCGCTGGGTGGTCGATTGAGAGCGGGCCCGCGACGGCCATAGTCATCTTCAGAGACTGCAACGAGGGCGCGTGCTGTTGTAGAAACCCAAGGCAGTCGGCGTGCTTCCACGCCATTCTAGAACAGAAAGGAGTGGCATTGACGAGCAGCTCGAGATCTTCAAGCTTCGTAAAACCGGTGATGATGCTGCAGAGGTGTTGTCCCTCGGTATACATATCCCCTCTCATCGCGAAACCCCGGAACCGGTCGCGGTAGAGCCTGAACTTGTGGTGCGTTCCATTCAGCCACGACGGGAAGTTAGGATCCTGCCACATGTCCGGGCCCATGTCACCGACGAGGATCACAGCGAAGCGGACGTGCTGGGGCGCGTGCCGCACGTAGAAATCCATCGCCGCAGACGGTCTCACGCGGCGCCAGCGCAAATAGAGCGTCTCCCACAGAGCCGGTGACGCGTGGGCGACGCGCGACCATGTGCGCGACACGAGTATGATGGGCAGCGGGGGGAAGTCCTCGTACGCGCGCTGAAGTCGAATACGCTTCCAAGCGTCGGCCTCACTCTCGCCCTCTTTCATATTGAAGTGATCATCGTAGTAGTTCGGTGGTATTTGCCAGTACCGGTGATCGTCTCGTTGTGGGACGAAATGCTCTAGAATTTTAGACCCGATCTCGGGCGGAAAACGCGTGAGAGGATCCGAGCGCGAGATCGCGTTGATCTGAGATAGCGTGTCTGCTTGTCGATTCTGAGATCCCTTCAAGATCTCCTCTCGTTGTTGAACGGTATCGTCGAGTTCTTGGAGACCCGCCCCCAGGAAGTCCATATGGGACACCTGACGGAGCTTCGGAGAGATCGGATTTCTGCACTGTCAGTGAAACTCCTTGTCGGTGCTATTTGCGGATTCCGCGATGTTCGAGATGCTCGTAAGGAGAGAACAAGTGACGGTGGATAGCCACTATCACTCTCACACTATCACAAAAGAGACGTGATGGTGAGTCTCCCCGGCTCGATCATGATCATCACTCCTGCACTGCCACACGTGTTTGCCGCTGCTCTGCTCTCGACCAGCTCGACTTTGTATGCGTTTTCCGAAAATCGTTCTCCTTTTACTTCTCCCTTTGGCTTAATTTGAAACCTCTCGTTTTCTCTTACATCTGCTGTTCGCCATGAATCCGTTTCAATCTTGCAATGCATCGTCTTCCGACTCATCCCCTCACTGAGCTTCAACATTTCCCACTCGTTAGGTCACCCGCCGTACTCTGCGTTGTCACCGTGCGCTATTTAATGTACTGTGCAAGCGAAAGAAATCATGCTCGAGGCCGCTACAGATGAGTCCGTTGCAGAGAGGAAGAAGCGGGACACGGCAGCACCGCGGTCGATGACAGACAGACGGCGTATATTTCTTGCATCTATCTCCATTCCTATGGCAGATCGGATAAGCTCCTCCGTCTCTGGGCTGTGGACCGTGTAATCAGCCACGGAACTGAACAGTCTCCTTCGGGCTCTGGAGCATGAGCGAAAGGAGAACCGGTTCCGGGGAACACTGGGATACTACTACCCGGTTCCGATGATGCCGTGGTATTCAAAACGGGCGTCAGACTTGGTGCCGCCGCCCACGTATGCTGGACGCCCGTCGAGGAAGCTACGATGCACCCGGCGTAAGAAGAGCATTCTGGACCCGAGCGGCGTTGTGAGCCAGTGCTCCAGCTCAAGCTAAGAAGCTTGCGCGTTTTTCGGTGCTGAGACTCAAGCCTGGGCTTGGATGCGTCCATCAAATCTTCGTGGGAGTCGGTCGGTTGACTCTTCCCAGCGCTCCTCAAAGAATTACGTGTCCATGTGTTGCGCGGTAGGAACTTTCAGTGCAGGTATGATCCGAAATTCATACCCAATGTTAATATCTATTGATTTTACAGGTACATTCCAATTCGCGGTCCAATCCGGATTACAGGACTTGCCCGGGTCCGACGACTATATCCTCGCACTGTTGAGTCGGGGTCCAGGTCGACACCTTCAGAACTTGCGCGGCGAGCTGATTCAATGTGCCCGCGGTGATCGTTACATTGGACTTCTTCCAGCCCTCTGCGACCGGCAAGCGCTCCTCCCTGAAGAATATCTGGACGAACCTACAACACAACGACAGAATGATGAGCGTTCGTGTTCGTCGGCGAACGGGACGAAACACAGTCACTTTTTGGGAGCCACTCCCGTGAGTGGATCGCCCATCACGGACAGATAGAAGGTGGACTCGCGGGTCCGGAGCCCCAGCTCCTTCGGCGTGTTTGTGATGTTCGGGTTTGCCGCGACGGACATCCGCAGCCGCTCGTTCATGACCAGGCCGGCGGACGTCGTGTTGTAAAAATGCACACCCGGATTCGACTCGGCCAGTGTCGCGAATATCCGCTCGTTGAAGACGGTGTTGTCGCCGAGCGCCGAGTCTTGCCGAGAGAGAGAGGCGTCGTGCTCGATGAGGTTGTGGCTGTGGCACGAGGTTGAAAGTCAGATCTGCGCTAAAATCAGGCACGCACAGTCCCAGAGCATCCAGATCCATACTCGTCGGCGAGTCACCCGAGAACAAACCGAACTTGGCCGCCACAGTCACCGCATCGGCAGCCATGTTGAATCCAGCTGAAATGGGGCACCTCAAAAAATGCGCTACATTCCGACACAGTTCGGCGCGCACTGACCCATCGAAGCCTCCACGATCATGGGGATAGTGATGTCCCGTCCGTGGCGGGGGAGGTATCCGTGGTTTGCAAGTGTGTTGAGTGCAGGGCACGGCGAGCGAGCGTCTCTGGGACCTGGCTTGATCCAAACATTAGCAGGAGGCAGTTGAGCTGTGGAGAACGAGAGCCACGGCAGCGCAAAGAAGGCAACAGTCAGTGATTTCATCTTGTAGGTAGGATGGAGAAGCGGTCACTCTGCTTGAGGACAAAAACTCTTTAGTAGCAGTCATGAATCCGGTTTGATAGGGCTCTTTTTTGACAGTTGAGAAATCCGAGTGTCTGGTTGACTTATAGCGCCGGGAGAATTCAACCTGGTCAAGGCCTCCGAACGTTTTCCGGTGCCTCGACCTTTTCAGCCGTGCGCGGGGATGAAAAACAAAAGCCTTTTTCGAATAAGGCAACATGTGTTCAACAAGCTCAGACAGTATTCGTTTTTGCCCGGACACTGGCAACCTTTGCAGCTATCATCTGAATCAGGATCTATATTCAGACTCTGCAATTGTCCAGGCTGAAAGTCAAGATATCTTCCGCCCCGATTTTCTCTAACTCGTCCATCACATTGGCGACCTGCTTCTTCTCCACCATCACGCTGACGGCGACCCAGTTCTCCTCCTCGATCGAGCTCACTGTCGGAGCCCGCCGGCCCGGCGTGATGCCCGCCGCCGCAGGAAGTTTGTCGCGCGGAATATTGTACTGGCAGATAACGTATTTTCCAGCGGCGATGACTCCCGCTATTCTGCGCGTCACGAGCTGGATGAGCGGCGCAAAGTCGGGGTGTTTCTGCACCGTCGACTTGATGAGGACGGCTTCGCTTTGGAGCAGCGTCGCGATTGCGTGCAGACCCGCCGCGCGCATCGTATCCCCCGATTCTGCGCAATTCATGAATACGCATCAGCCCTAGAAAACAGTTTCAAAATAATGCGCACCGACGAGATCGACTGTATGAATATGTCAGCAATCCTGAACAGAGAAAGCCAGAGATGAAATCTCACCGATTCCATCTGCCAATCCTAATGCACACGCAGCCTCGACGCTTCCGCCGACGTACTCGATCTGTGTCTTTTGATCTCCCGAGAGATTCGCTTTTTCGTCCAGCTTGTCGAAATACGACCCCGCGAGTACCTCGAAGCTCGTCACGACACGCTTGCCGGCCAGATCGTCGGCCGTTTTGTACGGGCTCGACTCGGGGACCTGCACCTGCAGCGCGCATTTCCCGAAACCCAGGCGCAGCTCCTCTGTGACGTGGTCCTGCATCTGCGCCTCGAGAATCACGTCGTGCCCGGTGATCCCAATATCGACATTGCCCTTGCCGACGAAGGACGGGATGTCGGACGCGGGCAGGAACACGCTGTGATGGAGGTAAACGAGACTATCGAGACAGGGAGGATGGAGGTGGATCCGCGGGTGGGACGTACAGCGCGATCGGGTGGTTCTGGACCAGTGCGACATCTAATCTATTGTGCCGCCGGAATTGTATGTCGGCGCCTGTGCACGGTCAGTCCGCGAGCCTGCCTGCCTCGCCATCGCAGGGAAGCGACGCACCGGAAAGCAGACTCAGACACTTCTCGTGCAGTCTCCCTCCGCTACAGTCAGAACAGGGCCTCGAACGTGCGCGGCGGGGCGGCCGCACCTTTCTTGGGGATGGCGAAGAGGAGCCGGCCTTGGAGAGAGTCGGCGTCTATGGGGAGGGAATTCAGATCGCAGACGATGGGGATTGATCAATTCGTACTCATGGGTCTACGTCGAGATGAACGATGAGAGAGAAGGAGAGTGAGCTGCTCGGTGACTCGATCATCGTTGTGATCGACCAGTTTTCTAAAGCCGATGATCTCCGATGACGTCCTTAATTAGGCCGATGGGCGATCCTGCAATAGTCCCATCCCCATGCTGTATTCAATCTCATTTTAGATTAGATAGAATGGATGTCAAGCACCGTATATTGCAGCGATACGAGAATGCTATTGTACAAAGATAATTTGGAAAGTAGCGTGCAAGGAGCGTTATAGGCTTCTGCCAAGCAGAGCAAAAGGAGAAAGGCAAAGCTATTCTACAGGTCAAAGATTCCGGGATCAAGTAGAGACACTGGACTCTGCCAGGCGATTGCTGAATGCAGAGCTGAAACTCAGACCGAGCACCGAATTGGGCGTCGAGAGCGATTCGCTCTCACTGTCCAGCCATGGATCTGCACTGCCAAAAGCGTCCTCAGTCTCAGACATGTGGCCTTCGAACCATCCATTCTCGGAGGGTGGGTCGACAAATGCAAAATCAGTGTGGGCTGAGATGTCAGAGCCAGCATCGGACCAGACACCCGAGTCCAATCGACCAAAGCTGGGAGGAGAAGCTCGAGATTCGGATGCCCAGGCATTGGATGCCATGAACGACGCGGAGAAGTCGAGAGTGGGGAGAATAAGCGATTGGGCCGGGTCTGAATCGACTGCCGGAGGGGACGACAGTCCACTGGCCATACCGGAAAGCACAGACGAAGTGTCCGAAAAGCTATCCTCGCCCTGCGACGCACTTCCATATTCCTCCTCCATGACACACCACCCTGTGCCACACTCCCCAATGACACCGCGCACAGCCGCCATGCTCCATCCGTGGAACGTCACGCGGAGCACAGTGCAAACGCCATCGTGTGTGGGGTTTGAATAGGCCGAGGAGACGGCACCGCGGGACCAAACTTGTGCTGCATCGAGCCGGCGGAAGAGCGCTGAGACGCGGAGGCCGTGCGTTTCGTGCTTGTCGTGGATGTCAAGCAGGGAAGGCAGTGACAGCCGTCCCGTCGACGAGGTCGAGACGGGGAATTCCGGGAGCGGAACGCGGTCGGTGGGAGTAGGCGCCAGGGGGACGAGGAGGAAGGTAGTGACGTCCGGAACGGAGGGAGAAGCGAAGTAGTGCTCGAGCTCGTCCTGCTCAGCGACCTTGGCAACGACGGGCTTAGCAGCCTTGGGCTTCATCATCTCCTTGCCCTTCTTCGCTGTCGAAGAGCCGGCTTTCTTCGTGGGGCGGCGCATACGCTCCTTCTCCTGGTGCATCTCCAAATCCCAGTCCGCTTCGTAGAATGCCCGACCGGCGATCGGGACGTTCTCAGCCAATTGCTGGAAGATGGGCCGGCCGGTGGTAAAGTTGCGGGCGGTACCCAGACCGACTTGGGTCATGGTGCGTGGGACTACCGGACCACGGGGCAGGAATTGGGGGCGCAAGGGCCGTGAGAGTGCATTCCGTGCGCCGAAGGACAGACGTTGTTGGATGGTGGGGTTCGCAGCATGGTAGGCACGAGTCACGGAAACACTCGGCGTCGATCCGATACCGGGCGTGGTGAGATGAGTGACGAATCGATTGAGTGCCCAGCGAGTGTGGGACAAAAGCTTCTGGCCTAGAGTTGGCGCGCGAGGCCTGATAGCGGCTGGAATGTGGATGTTTCTGGTCGCATGACCGATATTCGGGGGCTTATGGGCTAACGCCCGCGCCCCATGAGATGCTGCTTGCATCCTGGTTCTCTCCGACCAAAGTGTGCTGGTGGTAAGAGACGAGGTGGAGTTGGGATGGCTGCGCACACATCATTTTGTGGTGCTGGATCCGGAAGCCGAGAGTGGTGCGTGTGCTGATGCCGTATGGCTGTGCAACTGATCTCAAACAGGCAGGGACTCCTGTGCTCCCTATCGGGCAGTCTCTTTGATGCGTAGCAAAGGGAATGTTCTGCACGTGCACTCGATTGTTCATGGGCCAATCCAATGGAAATGAGCCTTGATGTCACAACACATTTCTGCCATTTGAGAATCGATCGAGGAAAAGACTGGTTGTGCTAGCCTTTTTTTCCTGACTCATCAGTTGGCATGTTGGTTATGTTGCGAGGTTGTGGACTTTCTATCCAAGGTACATGATTTTCACCAATCATTGAGCTCTACGTTCAATAGGTCACTTCCATTTGTCGCAATCAGGCTCTATCGCAACGGGTGAAATGCACAAATTATACGCGGGTTTTACATTCTCTTGTGGAGTTTGGAACACATGGCTTCCAGCAATACTTACTATGGTAAGATGTCCAAAAACGAGCCCTGACGCCCGGAAATTTTTCCCAATTCGACTAGGCAGACGACCCATGCTATCTTCGGTAAGTTTAGCCTCAAGCTCTTGCAACATCACCAGGAACCTCGGTCTCGCGCGATCGTAAACAACAAGAGACGAAACAGTCCCGAAACAGAGAACTTATGACGAGGTGGCAGTGCACCGATCGGCTCGGCAACCCGGGCACGTGCTCGTTCACCTCCGCCTTCCTTTCACCACACACCACACCCTCACCTCCCTTCACATTACTATATACGATGTCTGCACGCCGGCAGGCATCCAGCACTTCGCTCTCCAAGTTCGCGCGGGGCGCCGATCCCGCGCTCATGGACCGCACGACAGACTACTGCAACGCCTTCTGGGGCATGGGCGATGGCGGGGTGGATGTGCTGTTCGCGCGGATGCGCGGCGCGGCACGGACGATGGAGGAGCTAAGGAGCTTCTGGAAAGAAAGGTTCGCCGCCGCGCGCGTGCATGTGTGTATACCATCCGATCTGACTGGTAGCTCTCTTCGGACAGGGCTGTTGTGGAGGAAGAGTACGCGAAGAGGCTGGGAAAGCTTGCCAAGGTGCCACTGGGACGGGATGAGATCGGGTGAGCGGTTTTTTGCTTGAGATGGGTCTCGTGCGGTGTGCTTTGTCCGGACCACCGAGGCCGAAACACGCATGCGCAACACTCCCCTGACTCATGTCAGCGGCTCCAACTTCAAAAGGCCCACTAACGGACTCCTCGTAGAGACTTACGCAACTCATTGGACACTATCAAGACCGAGACCGAGAAACAAGCAGGGGCACATCTCAACCTCGCGCATCAAATTCGAAACAGTCTGGAAGGGCTGACTGCGACCTTCGTAGCTAAGCAGCAGCACCATAAGAAATTGTACCAGGGAGCTGTCGAAAAGGAATTCAAGGCCAAGCAGACACAGGAGGGCTACGTGATCAAAGCGCGCGACAAATACGAGAACGACTGCCTGCGGATCAACTCATACACAGCGCAGCTGGGACTGGTGCAGGGCAAAGATGCAGAGCGGATACACCTGAAGCTCGAAAGGGCGCAACAGACGGTTGCGCAGAATGAACGGGACTTCGCCAACTTCACGAGGGCGCTGGGGGAGACGGTGGGGAAATGGGAATCAGCTTGGAGGACATTCTGCGATAGCTGCCAGGATCTGGAAGATGACCGGCTGGAATTCACGAAGAACAACATGTGGGCATACGCGAACGCAGTTTCCTCGGTCTGCGTGCTTGATGATGAGGTGAGTGACGGCATCCTCCGGAAGCCACCCCCTGACCCATTTGTAGTCTTGTGAGCATATACGACTCACTCTGGAAGAGATGGAACCAGAAAAAGATCAGGAGAACTTTGTGCGAAATTATGGGACAGGGAATCAGATACCGGATCCGCCCATCTTCGTTAACTTCACGGATCCCAATGCCATTCCATCAGCGTCCGCCCGTCATACCTTCCGGATAGCCAGCTTTGAACGCTCGACGCAGCGAGTTCCGACAGAGGACTATGCGTCTCAGCCCGCCCCCCAGCCTGACCCTGCGGAGATCGTCACAACAAACATCGCAGGTCGCGGTGCTGGTGCCGGTGGTGTGACGCCAGCTACGACGGGCACACAGTCTTCACCTGCACCTTATGCTGCTGCGGGATCATCGTCGGGGATTTCTGCCGGGCAGGTCCATCAGCCCCAACCACATGCGGCAACGGAACACAACGACAGAGCCAGCATGATGATGGCGGCGAACCACCTCACGCCGTCCTCCCAGCAGTCGCCGACCAATTATGTGAACGGCTCGCTCTCGCGTGCCACAACTACCGCGTCGAAGCCTTCTCCGCATCGGGTTGCGCCACCACGTGAGGATCCCCCCGCAGAGGAGACGTACATGCGGATTGGGGAGAATGCGTACCGGGTGGATGCGCACAAGGATCCCTCACAGCCTGGGCCGTCACGGGCCAGTGCTACTCCGAGTGGGTTTGATCCACTGGCGAAGCAGATGGAGGATCTGCAGCTGGCTGCAGCGACGGTTCGGAGGAAAAGCACGCGCAGGACGACGGTCGACATGTCCCACCCCACATCGCAGCCTGTTCAGCAACAACAGGCGCTTGCTCCTCGACCGAGTTCCATGGGGCCGGGGTCGATATTGCCGCCGATGCACCAGATTTCTCGGTCCCCGTCGCCAGGGCCCGGACGCGACTACCAGCAGTCGGCTGATTCAGTCGTAGGGTCGCATCCTGCTGCCTCGCGGCCCGCCTCGCCGAATCCGGCGCCAATCACGGCAGCATTCATGCGACCATCGTCGACCGTGCCACCCGGCGCGGAGATGATCACCGACGTGCTGAGTGACTACCACCAGTCTCTCCCCGGCGAACGGAAGAGTGTCAGCCGCTCGAACAGCCGCAGGAGCAGCTACGTCGGGCCCGGGCACATGTCGAACCCGAGCCAGAGCTCGCAGATGAGCGCTGGGCACAATTTGGGGCGACCGCCGAGCACGGGCTTCGCCGGGGTCGGCTCTATGTCGAGGAGCAGCAGCCCGCAGCCAATGGCGATGGGACCCGCGCGAACGCCGAGTCCTGGGCTGGCGATGGCAATGGTGCCGGTGAACCGGGCGCCGAGTCCCGGGCCGGCGTATCGTCAGAGTCTCGTTGCCCCGGGCAGCAGCATCAACCGACAAGGCTCGACGAGTCCCAATCCTGTGGGGATTGCTATTGACTCGACGGGGAGGGTCACACACGACGATATGGCCATGCGGTACCACCATCAACAGCAGATCCAGGCACGCCAGCCGTCGCCCCAGCCGAGGCAACGTCAGAGCATGCAGTCCAGCGGGTTTGCACCGATCTCTCAGCATCAGCAACCCCAGCAGCAGCAGCCGCAGCAGCCGCAACTGACCGGTCCACAACGCCGCCTGAGTTATATGGGGCCAGCGGCAATCACAGCACCTCCCCCGCCGCCGATCCAGCAGGCTTACAACTCCTACCAACAGCCCCCACCGCAGCAACACCAGCAGCAGCTTTCGGGCTTTGCACCATCCCAGCAGTCGTTTGCTTCGAATGCGTACCAGCAGCAACAGCAACAGCAACCGTATCAGCAGTTGCAGCAGCAGCAGCAGCCGGTATACAACGGCCAGGGACTGCAGCGCGGTCCTTCGACAAACAACTATTACGCGGATCCACGGCAGCAGCTCGTTCGTGCAAATCACCAGCCTCCTCCCCAACAGCAGCAGCAGCAAATCCAGGCGCCACCCCCGCAGCCGCAGCAGCAGCAACTCGTGCGAGTCCCTCCGATCCAGCAGCAACGCACGCCCTCCCCCGCAGGCAGGCAGCGGACGTCGGACGGAAAATGGATCCAGTTCTACGTCCGGGCTTTGTTTGACTACCGGGCCACGATCGAGGAGGAGTTCGATTTCCAGGAGGGCGATATCATCGCTGTGACGGAGACGCCGGAGGACGGCTGGTGGCACGGGGAGCTGCTGGACGACGCAAGGCGGGTCCCCGGGAAGTCGGTCTTCCCCAGCAATTTCACGGTCATGTTCTGATCTGTACTGACGGCCTTTTTTGCTTTCGTATGTTGTAAGTAGATATACATGTGTAACATCTATGCAATGCGCTTACGTACAATTAGTCTCCTGGGCTCAGTGCATCGACGTCGACTGGGATGTCAGGAGCAGATAGTGGGTTGAGGACATCAATGTCTCGCAACGTCCGCCGCTACCGAACGTTAACCAAGTGCTACCACTTGCAGAATCGAATCATGTTCTCCATCGTAGCTGTAGACCTTGCATACATTCCAACAGACTCCTCGCGCGTAAACAAACCCCTTCTCGAACCCTGGCAACTCGGACAGGATCAGGTGATCTCAAGACGACTCGAACTGACGCCGCCACCGCGTCTCTTTCTCGCTTCACGATTGTCGACGCGGTCAACACAGGATTCGAGAATCGACTCCCAGTCGTTCACCAACCTGTCATTCCGACAGATAAGGCTTATCTCGAATCAATGCACACATCACCGGGGCGGATCCCCGCCTCCGCAGAGTGTTGCTCGCTCCTACAATGACTTTGGAGCGCGTCGCTGACAACGTCCCTCGTCTCATGGACCTCAAATCTCTTCAGTCCTCGCTCTCAGGGCTCCTCCGCACTCTCAAACGCGTCGGGCTCTTATCCACACCTCTTCTTTTCCGCCTCTCACCAGGTGGCGGAAACGGATACCTCCACGACCAGGCGATCGAAGTCAGCGCCACGGTGTCGCAAAGCTCTTCCCAAACGTTTCTCGGCATCGGCGGCTCAGGCGCATGGTGGCCGTACGACCTGTACAACTTCCCCGAGCCCGTCCGCCAGAACCTCTCCGCGCTCCTCTTCTCCCCCGACGGACTGGGCCTGACGAACTACCGATGGAACGTCGGCAGCGGCGGCGTGGACGTGGACAACCCGACGCGTGCGATCGAGACGTTCTACCGTGTCGGCGCGGGGGACGGTGCGGGGCGCTACGACTGGAGCGCGGACAGGCAGGGGGTATATTTCTTGCGCAAGGCCGCGGAGCACGGCGTGCCGTCCCTGACGGCGTTCGTGAATAGTGCGCCGGCGCCGTTGACGTCGACGGGCGGAAGTTGCGGTGGCGCGTTTGTTAATGGTGTGTGGCCGTTGTGATTAGGGCGCTGGCGCGTTATTCATGGCATCCATCCGAAACTCAAGGCACCGGCGCTGAATTCGCTGCGTTCCTCGCGGATGTGATTGTTCACTGGAGAGAAGACGGCATCCCCATCAACTTTGTCTCGCCGATGAACGAGCCGGACAACGACTTTGGGCCCGCTCCGTGCGGCCAAGAGGGTATGCGGGTTGACGCCAACCAGTGAGGAACTCCTCTATCCAATGCAGGAATGTCTTGAACAAATCCAAAGACGAGCCGAGATGATCAGCACCTTGTACGACGCACTCGATGCCCGGGGGCTGGCTGCCTTGGTCGGAATCATCGCAGACGAATCGGCTACCTTGGTGCGCTCTGAGACGGAGTATCCCATCTGGCTGCCTCAAGTCATCGGCAAAGTACACACATGCGCATGTGCGCCAACCGTGCAAGCTGATGAATACGCCAGGTCGCAGCTCTTGTCCACCATACTTATGACTTCCCATCGGATGAAGTGTATTTGGAGTTTGTCAACCACACCCGGGCGACTTATCCTGATAAACCGCTTTGGATGTCGGTCAGGATTCCTGTCGCTTGTTTGGCTGTAACCGCCTGACGCGCTGCAAGGAAATCTGCTGCTCGCTGGGTGAGGCGGATGGCACGGGTCGAGGATGGTCTGGAGGGTTTGACCCGACAATCAAGAACGCTCTGATGTGGACGACGATGATGTTCCAGGTGCGCTTGACTGCATGCTCTCCATGAGGGACTGATTCTCAAGCCCAAGCTCATAGAGTCTGATCATAGCTGAGCAACCCCAATACGATGTGCGGCACATCTCGATGTCTTGTGCTTCCCAACTGACCCGCACCAGTTCTGGACACTCGTTTCTGGAGGTTCGTGTTATAGGTCTTGACCTGTCGCGCTAGGCTGAAATCACTCTTAGGGATCGGCTGTTCCCCGCTCTCCGATCCTGAATGCGTGACGACGGGAAATGCGGATGGCTGGACGGTGGGTCACTTCTATTTTGTTTTAACTTCAGCTGATTATGTGGTCAGGACGGTCTGATTTATTACGATCCCGACTATGCAACGAATGGCAACTACGAGCTCTGTATGTTTTCTCTTGTACTATGGTCCAGCCGAAGCAACCCTCACGATCAATCTCTGCCCAGACCTTACGAAACACTTCTGGACGTATAAGCACTTTGGGAACTTTGTCAAACGTAAACGCTCACGCTCACGACTGACTCGTTCTGTATCTCACATTTACTCGCAGCTGGGACACAGCGGCGATCGATCGCTGGAGTAAGTGCTAAATGGGCGCATCGTGTTCTGGTCGTGTACGAACCCGCGACGTCTGGGTATTCTGTCCTAGCGATGAACCCTGGCTCGACATCCGTGGATCTCCGATTGTCCTTCCCGCATGATTTGTGCAGCACTGTGGCGTATCGGACTTCAGCGGATGAGGACTTTGCTCTGATCATGGGCGCAGCTGAGCTGGATGTCGAAGATCGTTGGAGCATGTTGCTGGCCCCTGGCAGTCTGACGACGTTCCGGTTCCAACATTGCTGACAGTAGCATGATATTTACCACTCCTAGACATCTTTTCCCTTCATTCTATCTTTATCGGTCAAGGATTACCAATGAATGATACCATTATCAACACTGGAGTGTGCTTGCACATCGGCCACCCGGCTGTGCTTGGGCAGCATTCGGACGCCTGCGAATCACGGCGATCTTTGTTCGAAGCCCGGACTGGGTGAGTCATCGAGTGGGGAGCGCGCGTCGATAAAAAGTCGGTACTCGAGGGGTAGACTGCATTAAAGCTCCCAGCTTCTACAAATCTGAGAACCATGTCTGACACAATCGAGAAACCCAGCTCATATTTCCCACTTGCCAACGCCACCGGAGACGGCTGGACGAAAGACGGGAAGGCGACGGCGACCTGTTTTTGCGGTGCCGTCCAACTTGCATTCGTAAGCCCAGTCCCTCCACAGACGCGCTTTTCTCGACTAACAACGCAACCTCCGCAGCCGACCGAAGGCCCTGGGCTCGTCAACACGTTCGTGTGCAACTGCACCGACTGCCGCAAGATCACCGCGTCCATGTTCGCGTCCAACTTCACCGTCGCGGACACGCACCTGACGCACATCCGCGGCCGCGAAAACCTCACGACGTACGCGCAGGGCCGCACCATGGCGCGCCAGGGCAACACGATGACGAACTACTTCTGCGCGACGTGTGGGTCGCTGATGTACCGCGTCGGATCGGCGTGGCCGGGGTACAGCATCCTGAGGATCGGGACGGTGGATGACTTCAGCTTGCACGAGACGAAGCTGCGGCCGCAGATCGAGCAGTTTACGAAGGATCGGGTGAGCTGGTTGAAAGGTGTTGATGAGACACAGAAGTTTGAAGGGATGTCCGAGTAGTCTCCGATTGATGTGTTTGACAGTCAATGAGAGAGGATGGTCTATGTATCTATCTTGTAGATTCGAATTATGCAATTCTCGACAGATTCATCATATCCACGTATGGGAACGTTCAGATCAGCAGCATGGCGCAGTCTGGGAGCGCGCGGGGCCCATAACCCCGAGGTCACTCGATCGAAACGAGTTGCTGCTATTATCGTACTCGAATTGCTCTGAGTCATTTTTGTTGGATTGTACTCGCCTGTTCACTTCACTGCAAGGTCTGACGTTTGGTGCGCGCAACTCTCGCCTAAAACTCACGCTCTGTTGCTCCTTAAAAACTGACACCGTCTTCAAAAAATTGCTCAAAGTGGTGTGATGTAGTGGTCCTGAGATATGGAATGTGGACGTGAAATCGGGGGTGTGAGCGAGACCTGCGCGTTAGATCGAGGGCAGTCTGCTTGTCATGCTGCTTCGATGGAACTTTCTTTCTTCACACCAAGCGTCATGATAGGGACTGACGTTCACAGTAGCCCGCATCAGTCAATCTGCACTCCCGGACTTTCATAATGATTGGCGCCAGAACTACTTATTTCGCTCCTCTCTTTGCCTTGCCTGCTTGTTTCTGTGGCTTTCTCACCCTCTCCCGGTGCTTGCCCTTGTCGTCCTTCCCTTGAGGTCTGCCCCCCACCTTCCCCTTTTCCGCCTTCAGCTTTGAGTTCATGCCCATCCTTAGCTTTTTCTCGGCTCTCCGCTGTGTACGTTGAGGATCAGCTTTCTTCGCAGCCTTGCGCGCCTCTTTGTCGAGATGAACGATGCGTTCTCCCAGATTGGGGTCACCGTGATGGACTGGATACGTCGACTTGGTTTTTGCCGAACTGGAACCGGAGCTGGGTGCTGCAGCCTTGTTCGTTCCTCCTATCGTTCGGCAACGCTGAACGCGAAGTGCACGTTTTGCAAAGCGCAGTTTCTTGGTTCCTTCGTCCGTCTTTCCGAGCGAAAGGATCTCATCTACGCATTCTCGGTCCTGTTATGCACCGTGATCAGACCTGAGAATCGCAGAAGGGAGCAGTCACCGCTTACCGAGAACCACACATAGCCGAAACCTTTGCCCAATTGAGTTTCAGGATCTCGGATGAGCCTGACACCCTGAACCCAGCTACCGTCCTCCTCTGAAGCTGGGCCTCGTTCCCCCGCGACGACGCCTTCGAAGAACTCCCGGAGATCACTTTCCTTGGATCCGAATTCGAGGTTGCCGACGAAGATGCTGCGTTTTGGATCACCCGTTGCAGTGCTGGAACCGTCGGCAGCATCGAGTTTCGAGCACACGTCTACTCGCAGGTCTCGTTCGAGAAACGGTTTGAGATTTGCTGCTAGAGCGATCTGTGCAGCAACTTTGTACGGCGTGTCTTCCGTAGTCTTCGCCTCGTCAGTCTCTCCGTAGGCTGCGAAAGACGCTTTGTGATGGGCTAGAACCACATATCCGTTGACGCTCTGGGCTTCGGGGTGGAACGCTCCCTGGATGAAGAATATCTTCTTCTTTTGAGCCGGCGTTAGAAACTGTTTTTCGTCATCGCCTTCCTTGCCGTTGTCTTTGCGCCAAGCGGAAATCCGTGCCTGCGCGTGGTTGGGTGCATCCGATGCGCTCGTAGACTGAGTGGGCTTCGCCGAGCTTGTGCGTTCCTTGAAAGCCACAGATCGAAAGCGCAGCGATTCGACAGAAACTTTGGAGCCAGGAGGTAAGAACGAAAGGAGATGATGCGATAGTTGTTTCTGGAGTGGCTGCATGATGATCATAGTAAGTAAGATGTCCGGTCCTTCAAGTTCAAGACCTTGCCTTTTTACTAACGACATCAATAGGTAGTCCACCCACAAAGAGAGTGCGCGAATCTCGCTCCTTGCGAGTTTCGTCTTTCGGAACTAGCTTGACTTTCTTCGTGGGTTTCTCCCGCTCTCTGCGTTTAGGGTTTGTGATGGACTCGTGCTGGGGCGGAGGGGCGTTCGAGTCCGAATCCGAATCCTCGCCATCGTCTTCCGAACCTTGCTCCTCGTCTGCGTCCTCCTCATCTTCCTCAGCAGAGTCATCATTGTCTTCTGCACCCTTCGGCTTGAGCCTCTTGTCCTGTCTCTGGATATAGGCATTCTCGAGATCTGAGTTGTCCTCATCAGGATCACTTTCGTCCGCTCCTGCTTCTGCTTCCTCGTCGACATCCATAACCTCCGTTTCTGCGCGTCGCTTGCCTTTTGATTTTGAAGCCGCAGATGAGCTGTGAGGCTTTCGGATATCCTTCCCTTTGCCCGTGATTTCGGGAAGCGTTTCGGTTTTCGAGGGCTTGGCTCGTTTGTCTGCTTTTACCCGCTTGCCATGATTTTCCGCCGGGATGCCAGTTTCGAGTTTTCGCTTCTTTGTTGAGGGAGGGGCTGATCCTGGCTTAGGAACGGAGATTGCGACACCAGGCTTCCGGGAAGGAGTGGTGGTCTACAGGTAACAATTGTATGGGAGACCGCGTCAACAGAAAAGGATGTGGCGCACATTCGACTTGAATAGAGAATCGAGCTCAGTGTCGATCTTGTTGCTTGAGCTCAGAAGGAAAGAGAGACTCATTTGAGGAGGCGGATTTGAGATGGATCCGCACACAGGCTGGTGCTCAAATGCACTTGACAGACGCGGAGGTCAAAGATTTTGGGAAAGTAAGATCGGCAATATCCGAAGTGTTGACCGGTATTTGCTACATTACGCTTTCGTCCAGCAGCCATGTCTCTTCGCACCCTTACTGTCGCTGCGCTCGTCTCCTTGGCACTTGGATTCTCGAGTACAACACCAGTGGTTTCCTGGTCCTCCTACAGGTACGTACTCAATCGCCAGCTTTCGTTCATCTTGCCTAGCGATCATGCTCATTTAGCTCGAATGCTTTGGACTCTATTCCTTCCAAACTGCCCCACTCGCACTCTGTCTTGGACTCTATCCTGTCAAATGAAGACGTCTGTGGTCACGATGCCGTGGTGCTCGTAGATCAGCCTGACGTGTGTAGTTTCTCTTCCTTCTCCTGTATCAACTAATATTCCGTAGTTGCACGCCTCTGACCTGCGCGTCCTTCCTTCGCACGCACACCTCTCACGATCCCTCTCATCTGCTCCCTCATCGAGGCAGTTCCCTTATGTATTATCAACGGGCTTGGACTTCTCTTCCCTGCTGGAATCCACCGCGACCAGATGCCAGTCGCGTATCGTTTCGTACTCTCCCGGTCATGGCGGTGTTTCGTTCTCCAACGAGAAACACGTTGTCTCGCTCAGCTTTCCTCTATTGAATGGCCTTGCGGATGAGCGTGCCGAAGCGATGCTCAAGCACGGTACGTCAATGGTTGGTATTTGACTGCGTGCACTCATCAGTCGTAGATTCTTTGCTTTCTGCCGAACTCGCACTCCTTGCCAAGACGTTCCCCAACCACCTCGTGATCTACACCTCTTCCTCCCCGTCCTCCCTTGCGAAGCGTGCGGACACCGTTCTCGGTAGTGTCATCCAAGCGCCGTCTGCGAAGCCCAAGACGAAGGGTGGCGTTTTGGCGCGCTACCAGCTTCTTACTCCTGGCCTCATTGTCACGCTCTTCGTCGCATTCTTCGTTCTCGTGCCGATCTTTATGGCTGGCTTCAGCGCGCTAGCAAGTATCCAAAGCTCAGTCCAGACCAGCACCCCGAAGAGCTTCGACGCTGCGGCCAAGAAGAACCAGTGACCGTTCATCCATTCGAAGAGTACATATAGTGTAGTAATCTCCAACAATCATTCACTGGGACAGTATCTTTCTGGCCGCGCATTTATTCAGCCTCTCTGTTACATCGTATTTGCCTCCAGTGGAGGCAGTGACATCGATCTTCTGCAGCGCGGGAAAAGCAGTCCCGTTCGCCAATAAATCATCCAGACTCGTCCAGTGCTCGGCTGAAAGTCCTTCGAAGGAAGAACGGCGAGCGCACCAAGTGAGAGACTCGAGATGAGTGACGGGTGTTGGCAGCTTGAGCAACGCCTGCAGGACGGACTTTCTACTAATAGACGACACGTCCAATTCGAGATACCGGAGAGTTGTCAGTGGGCTCAAGTCGGTCTGGATTTCCAAATCGCCTGTCGTTGTAAGCACATGGCGTAAGACTCCTCCGATCTTGTATCAACATACCTTTCTGCGCAGCGAAAATGATCGTGAGACTCTTCAGCTGGGCGCCGAGTGTAGCGAGGATCAAGTCTAATCTTCCAGCATCCTTGATTGGATGTATATTGTGTAGTGCAAGTTCAGTGAGGCTTGCGACACGCTTATCGGCGAACCAAACTTCATGACCACGCAGGGAGCAGAGTGTGAGTTTTTTCAAGCCCTGAGGCATGACGAGGTCCTCGCCAGGATATTCACCGACAGCAGCCCGCACCGCGTCGAAACCGAGTTCCTCCAAACCATCGAAGGAGCACGCGAATCGGATGCCGTCTGCCAGAGTCGAGAAACGTATCTTGAAAGCGAGTTTCTGTATCCCTTGAAAAGCGCCGGTGAGCACCGCCAGGCAGATGGCCGGCATGAGCCGTGGATAGTAGATAGTCAAGCTGCGCGCGCCAGCCAGTCGCGCCAACTCTTCTAACTCTCCGCGCATTCCAGCTGTGATTTCTCCACCGTCAAGATTGGGCGGGACAAGCGAAAGTTCGCGTATAGCGCTTTTAACACCGTTGTGCGCAGCGAAGGTGCATTTTGGATGACGCACGAGGGCAATGAATGTCTTCAGGCGCTCGCAGCGACCCAATGGAGTCTGACTCGTCCAAAGATATGGTATCTTGTCGCCTGATTCCAGTTTCTGCAGACAAGGCTGGCAGTATAGAGGCTGGGATGATCGTCGATATGGTGTTGGACGATGAGATCGAGAAGTTCTGGACTCAGTGTCTGCCACGCAGTCTGCATGAGATGGTCCAGTAACAAAGATCGAATACCAAACCATCCACTCGTAGACATTCATTGCGGTAGTCTCGATCGTTAACATTCTCAGGAACATCAGTGCACGGTCATAATAAAGCTTTATCATAGAAGATCATGGAATAAGGTAGGCCAGAGAATTAGACAAGATTGTTCCGCAACAAGATAGAGAA